CAGCACAACCGGTGCGGCCTTGCGCATAGCTCGTCGGGCGAGGAGCGAACCTACCTTGAGTAACTCGATCAACACGTTGCCGCCTAGTCGTCCCTGGCATCGAACCTGGTGGCCGGTAGAGTGCCGAAGCTGCTCAATTCGTCAGGTTGCTGGCACGCAGCCGTGCCCGCGCGGCCCTGCCTCTATTGCGTTGAGTGCCACGTGTGCTTATGTCCCTCGCTGGTCGGCATTGCTCTCTGTTGCAGTGCTCGGGCCGTCGCAACCAGCCTCCTTTGACTCTCATTGGGCAATCCCGCCAACGTTGACGGGGTAGCGCCCGACCTCAGCAATGTCCTGGCTGAAGACGTCCTTGTAAGCACTCGACTTCCTGGAATTTTGTCCCCTTGGATTGGGGTCTCCCACCATACCCTCCACTGGAACCGCGGATTGGCCAGGAAAGGTGCGCAAAAACAAATGCGAGTTCAACGCCGGCATCATCACAACTCCTCCGCTCCCACAGGCAAACTTTCGATTGTTTGAAGCCAAACAGGTTTCTGATGCGATTTAAGGGGAGGCCATGCCACGTGCAAATTCATTTGTGCAGCACGGACGATATGGACGGAACTTCGCAGATCGCAAATTTCGTAGGCTGGCCAGATTGTCCTCGGAAACACGGCCGGATCAGGGCCTGGGGCGTTCAACTACGGTCCTCCAGAGCTCCTTTGTTGGGCGTCCAGAACCGAGCAAATGATGCAACAAACCTTGCGGTGGCTAAGCAGGCTGTTTCTGCACCAAGCTGCGATCATGTCAAAAGATCTGGCGACGTCTGAAATGCGTGGGATGATATCAATCTTCATGCCGTCTGTCCGGCCTCTGAGCCAATGCATTCGTTCATGGTGTCAATCCCAGTAATAACCGCTGAGGCACGTTTCATTGGGCCCTCCTTTGTGATTGTTTGCCCCCCACTTGAACTACACCATGCTTTTTCCATTGTTCACGCCGGGGAAAGATCGCTTTCGCATTGAGTCACACAAGTTCGCACCCTTTTTGCCCCTTAGCCTCAAACATCATGACGTGATCATGATCCTACGCCCGTGGCTTGCCACCCGCGTGCAGGCATTGTTTTGGCAGCTGCGCGGAACCAAGGATTGACTTGGCTTTGCCATTGTGGCATTCTGGGGATGACCGCGCGCACGTACCTTGATTGCCTAGTTGTTTTTGAAAGCAAGTCAGCTCGCTGCTTACATGTGGGCCCCGATGCGGGCCCTAGGTCTGGAAATTCATGTCGGACGAGGGCATGTTGCGTCATGAGCAGCGACCCCTGGGTACCAGAAGCTGTTTGAGATCAACGAGATGCAACGCTCATGCTTAAAGAGTGTAATCCCACACGGCGCATTGTCAAGGCGACACCATATCAACCCCCCAGTTCCGTTGGGCGCCGAGCGCACGTGGAAACGTATTTGAATGTCAGAAGTGCCAAGCATCACTGTTGGCTTGAGACAAGCATTGAAAACTTGGAGATCGGCGGCGTCCCATCCGTATCGCCAAAGCGTGTCCTTCACAACAACATCCATGCCAGACTGTCAGCAATAAATGATTTTTTTTTTTACATGTCTCCTTAGGGATGGTGCCTATCATCAAAGCGTTGAAGCAGATGCTACTGAGCATGAACTGGATTATGCGCACATCGCCTGGAAAACTGTTAGGCGCCCTTCCCAAGCAGGATACCACGGCAAGCGCCAAAGGGCGGCTTATCGGGGTGCACACTGGTGTCCCCGGTGTCCCCTGTTCAAGTGTCAAGTATCCACGTTGAACATGTGTTGGCATGATTTCCAGACACCTCACTTTTCCAGTCCGCAGCCGCCGATTTTTCCTGCCAGGTCCCGTGGGTTCAAGTTCAAGTTGGTCAATGCATGAGGACCATACATTTGGTCGCATGGTTTCCGGCCGGCCTTGGGGGGCTCGATGCAGGTAGCCAGCTGTCAGGAGTTGACGTTTACAGTGGAGTTTCAGGTTCAGATTCACATGGGTTATCTCATGAACCAAACGGTGAGGGCGACATCTTCGGTGAACAAGGTTTGTGAAATGGAATGTTCACAAATGGATGGACTTGACCAATGTGTGTCAGTGATTGCGTGAACAACGAAAGTTTGTAGATAATTTGTGAATTTGGAAGTTTGCAAATAACAACTTCAGCAACAATTTGTCAGCTGACGTTCAAATACTTGGAAAAAGTATCCATCCCATCCTCAACTGGCCCTGTATGGTATATGGACGAACAGTTCACGCACGGTTGATGAACCATTCACGAAATTCATCCCGTGAGGCGTTTTATTCTTCAAGCATAAAAACTTCATTGTTTTCTGTTGGCGGCTGGTACCGTTTACGCACGTTCTTGTGACCAATGTGTTCACCTGATGAATTCTTGTTGACGCACTTTTTGCATTGACTATCTTGCAGTCGCAGCTTTCATTGTAACCCCGACTAGGACAACTGCACCAACACTCCGGATCCAGAATTTCAAGCCCCAAAGCCTTGCGCCCCAACAACATGCAGCTGCGAAACCTATCCCAAAAAACCAGCCTCTACACCACTGAGAGTGTACCAGCATTATTTGAAAACAGCTGCATCATTGCAACAGTTCTTGGTTCAGTGCCGTTTGGCTCGATCACGATTGTACGACGACCTATTACCGCTCAGAAGCCCCTACCTGCTTTCAAATTGTGCAACATTTGGTTGGCAGTTGCAACAGCTCCCCACAAATAGAAACCATCTACGTTTTTATGTTGCTGAAGCTCCAAGACCATGGCTTAGGCTGCCAGCACGCGCATGAGGATGCCTGCGGCCGCAAAAAATCGCTGGTTCGCCTTCGTGCTCGCATGCAGTTTGGTAGTGGGGAGGTTTTCTGTTCAGCGCACCTTTAGCGTGCCCAAACGGGGACGTGGATTGTCAGACTCATGTCAAGCTTCTGCGTTGGGGAGAAACCCCAGCACGACAGATTTAGAAGCTTGTAACCGCCCATTACCTGCTTACATGTTGAAGGCTTCAGGGGGAAATGAAAAGGTCGCTTTGCGACGCTGGGCAGAGACCCTCAGCTGGCGTTGCGATATCGATGATGAAGGAATTGTGAACAATCCCAATCCCAATTATTTCCGCATTATGCCGCACTATCCGACTTATCTGCATCTTCCAGACAAAGAAGGCCATTTGACCTACTGGGAATTGCTTGGTCGCATTGACATGGCGGCGCTGGGACGTGAAGGTGTTTCTGTTGAAGAAATCCGCAGCAACTACGTTTGGCAGACGTTATTCACATGGGATGTGTGGTTGAAGCGGGATGATATGGCAGAAGGCACCATCGTTGTCGACATGGACGGATTTGGTTTGTCCACACTCACACCTGCTTTGATCCAGATGTTCGTGAGGATATCATCTTTGATTCAGAAACATTTTCCGGAGCGAGAACATGTTCTGATCATCATCAATGCGCCGAGTTGGTGGGGGCGCATATACGATCTGCTTGGGCCGCTTTTTCCTGAAGGTCAGCGAAGAAAACTGCGTGTAGCAGTGGGTGCAGCAGATTCGGCAAAAACACTGCAGGAGTTCATAAACATGGACAACATACCGCGCAGCTATGGTGGCCATGGTGGCCCACTTGGTTCTGCACCGGCTGACGTGCTAAAGCGCAAATATGCTTCCCATGGTTCCAAAATGATGCGCAGGTGAAAAAATATGCAAAAAACTGATATGGTTTCAGGTGTACCTGTGGCTTCATGTGATGCAGAGCACCAAGGCTAAAAATAACACCAAATGCTTCCATGTCGCTGATGCAAATTTTCGCGCAGCATTGCAGATTTTCCCGTTGCAATGCACAGAGTGGCAACTAGGCAGCACGTCTCCACCACATTGCAAAGCGTTTGGTGATTAGTACTCTTAGCTTCAAGCTGACTGAAATGGGACATTGTGTGGCATGTGTAGCAAGCACCAGCTCGCGCCCATCATTTTAACATGAGCAGCACCATGTGATTGATCAGGCCCGTTGCAGTAGGCATGAATTGAATTGTTTGGCGATGTGACAGACCTTCTTCGCTGCAGCGTCCAGCTGGGCATGGAGCTAAAAGGTGGCCTGGCGCGCAAAAAATCAAGCATCACAATTTTTTACATGCATTTGCACTTTCGGCTATATGCCAGTCCCTGAGTTGTAAGCGAAAGGCAGTAACCCGGAGACACAAACAGTAAGCAAGCCTCTTGCAGAGTTCCCGTGTCGGGTGATTGGTGAAGAAGGTGTCGTTGTGTCATGTGCAGGGCCAATGAGTATGTCTCCGAACGGCAATGTTGTGTTCTCGCCTCAGCTGCGTTGGGTGATTTGCTGATTGCTGCATGGCTCTGCATCCTTTGAGCAAGTGAGGTTAAGGCCTCGCGCGGGCGAGGCCGATTGTGCTTTCGAACGCCGTGCGTTGTCAGACGGTCATGTTCGGAGCCGACTGGGCGCGAGGTGCCTGACATTGTGGTCCGGATACGGGACCCTGCCCAAAATGTTGACGAACGGCAATCAAGGATGGAACTGTGAATGAGCATGTGTTTGCTACTATTTTACATGATGCTGGTTGCAGATGGTCGCCGTACGAGCCAACTTCCATGCCCCATTCAGAGCCAAGGCCACTTCTGCTTGCAACCAACTCACAGGTAAGTCCGCAAGCAAGATGCGATGATGCCATGCAAGGATGCACGTACTCGCAGGCACTTTGGCCCATACGCATGATGGTAGCCTCAGTGCAACGCCTGCCCCGATAGTGGACAATTCGTACCTGGAATACGACCAGGCAAGACCTTTTTGCACCATGTGCCAGATGTGATGTGTCAGGGACATCTAAGGTTCGAGATTCATATTTTGCGGTGTTCCGCTGAACCTCGTTGACGACGCTAGTTCGGCTGACAAATTGACGGCGTGGTCTCTAAAACCAGATGGGTCTTTGTTGTCCAAACGCGTGCTTGCTTGTTGTTTCGCAGCCTGATAGGCTATGGGGCGAAGGCCCGTGCTCCTGGCAATCCTCATCCACAAGTACCTTGTTGCAGGCCTGTTGATGCATGTTACGGCTGAGAGGAGCGCTGCCTATCAAGCTGGCTTTGAGGTGCCGGCAATGTGGGCTGCACAACGATAACGGGTTCAAGTGGGCCCCGCTACAGGCTGGTGCTCGTGTTCGCTCTATCATTTTTGTATGTGGCCCTTGTCCGGGACAGGTGGGCAATGCAGAACCCGTCTTTGGTCGCGCCTGTCTTCCTGGATTATGAAATCCATGAGCAAGCTTGCTGCAGAGACCTGCAGGGAGAGCACTAACGGCTGCTTAGTACGACAAGATAAGAAATTGTAAAGGTCTTCCGAGAATTAAGGTACAAAAGTCCATTGATGGCATCCTTGAATGATGGCGCGTTGGTGATTTCTGCCCCGGTGGATATGACGGTTGCGTGGATGGGCATTGCTTGGGAACGAAACATGTTGATCATGCGAAATTCTTTCCTACATGTTAGTATATGTTAGTCAAGTATTATTTCATCGCTGCAACAGGCTAATTTCAATTTCAGCGATGGCACCAATGATCCGCAGAAGTACTTGCTGCAGCGACATGGCTGCGGGAATGGTAGGTGGTAGGTGCACGCTTTTTTGGTTGAAGTTTTTCACATGATGTTTGCGGTATACCTTTATCTAGGGAAGGGCTTTCAACTATGAAGGTGCGCCGTTTTGTCATGTTTTGCACATGCCATGAACCCGCCCAATCCATGCGACAACAGCCCAAAACAGCCGAGAAGTTTCGGCAAGGGTGTTTGGCCAGCCCGAAGGCTAGCAAACACGCACGCATATCACGGGGATAGATTGTGCCCCTCTGCCAGTGTTTGTGCCAGATGTCGCAACAGCATTGCTGTGTTCTCTCCGCATCACTTTTTGTCGGCGTGCTGGGCTAGTTCTTTCGTGCGCGAATGCATCCCATTTTTCAAGCAATGTGCCGGTTTATTGTTGCCGATCTGCTTGTTCTTAGAAAATTTGGTAGAAATATGTTGGATCCATGGGTCCATCAGTTATGTTGAAATCATGCCGGCTTCAGGAGCATCCAGTTGCGAAAGCCTGCCATGGTTGCAGAAGGAACCAAGCAGGAGCTGAGTCACGAGTTGGAGGTAGTTCTGGTGCATCGCGAGGCTGAGCATGTTTGACCATGAAGTTTGCCACAAACAGCGCAGTTGTGAAAAGCTGTATCTGATGTGCAGGTGACAGGGACAGGCTACTTTGCCAATGTGATCGTTCCTGTGGAAGTCAGCCTGCGTCCGAACATCCTGTAGTATTTCTACCAGGTTCTAGAGATTCCAGGGGGGCACATGAATTAGGGGGAGAGAGGGCACAGAAAGAGTGGATTTTCCAAGGTGCTGAGCCAGGACTTGATCTTTTGGCCCCGCTGGTAAACCAAGCAGAGTTGCCTACCCAGGCCTGGATCTCGTGAGGGTGGGTAGTCCCCCTGCCGAGTCACTAGACTTACTAGACAGCTTATGTTCCTTGAGCCTGCAAGGTTGGCGAGACTCAGCCAGTGCTCGTTTCAAATTTGCTGCCCTTGAAGCTGGAGCACGTCTACCAGGGAGTTGCTTGCTTGCAGTTGTCCAGTTGGTTTCATGCGAGCAGGTCGGCAAATATGATCCTGCCGTGAGGTGTCCTTCCAACATTTCTGGGGTCAAATTGCAACTTCCTGCAATCAGACTATGGCTGGCTCTCGGATTTTGATGCGAAACGCTACCATGGTTGCTTAGATGCAGACATTTTTGTGATTACAAGCTCTAAAATGCTTGCACATGGAGTATTTCACCTAGCGCAGGCCACATCCAAGCCGATCCTGCAAAAAATTCTGACGTCCCTCGAGTGGACACCCAGCGTGGTTCCTGTCATCCCGCCCTCTCAAACATGGTGCCACAGCTCAAAGATCAATGCAATATGTTGATTTTATGTGTGCAATCATGTAACAGCCTCATCTCCTTTGTGATGAGGATGGTGCAGCCATGCCCGCGAGGAGGCTGCTGGGCGGAGAGTTTGCTCGTGCTCGGTTCCTGTTTTTGGACGCTAGGCAGCTTCGCAGGTTGCTGTGCGTCCCGCGCCCCAGGCACTTGTACCATTCCTGCAGCCACGAACCTGACATCACAGCTGTCCGAAGCAACGCTGGTACTCCAGCAAGATACCACGAAGCTGGAAGCAGCCAAGCAGGCCGGTTTATAGAATGGTGCATAGGAACTTGTATCCAGCCTTTTTTTGCCTTTGTTTGGTGTGTTGAAGAAGCGCAGGCAATGGATGCATCGCTTGTGGCATTGACATCAAACACATCCAACGTGAGTAATGATGCCTACAATCAAGCCAAACGGCACAGAGACGACCTTCGAAATGCGGAAGCTGCAGTGGATGGCGCTACCCGCACCGTTGAAACCTTGCAGACCCAGATCAGCAGCGCAAAGTCCGCAGTCTGGGATTCAGATGCGCCTGCCCAGGCAAACCAAGCATCGACCACCAGCACTGCAAGCCTGGTGACAAACACGACCACCACAACCAGTGTCAGCCCAGCAGTTGCGGCTACTCCGAGTTTTCTGGAGAGCAAGTCACAAGCTTGCAGTACAGACAATGTGGCCGCTCCCTTGGAGGTTGAACTGAACCAGGTGGAGCATGTGGATGCAGCGACTTCGGGAGCTTCAGAAGCTCTTTTGTTTTGGCGGCTTTCCTCCACACCCCTTCGCCCTGCAGAAGCGGCTGCAGCCGAGACGTCAGCCGAAGCGCCACGCCTACGTGTCGCAAATTTGGGTGACAGACTCCGAATTTCAGCTGCCAAGCCGATCATGGTGTTGCTAGTTCACGGAAAGGAGTTGCCAATCAGTTTTGCTGACATCAGCATTCCCGGTGAGCATAGTCTCTCTGGTCGCCGGGCAGACGCCGAGATTCAGCTAGTGCATCTTCCGGCAGATCCTGCGCAATCTTTGGCAGTGGCGTTGCTGCTAGATGCTGGTGATGGCGACAATGTTTGGCTGCAACATGTCACTGCTCTTCCTCGGGCTGGAGAGATTGCGGAAGTTCAGGGATCTGATCCAATGTTGATGCACCCTGCTTTCTCGCGGGGCGTTGCCGGACATTACTATCGCTACAATGGTCGTTTGCTCAAATCTCAGTGTGCGCGAGTAAGGCCGGGATCCCAACAGCTAGCTTGAGGTGCCAGTCTGCCCTAGATTGATTGATGCGATCTTGTACAACCCCCGACCACGCGGTAGGTCAGCCATGTAGTTTGATAATGTGAAGTTTGGGACAGGTGCAAAGGTACAAGGATCTTCGTAGGCTGAAATTTGATCCTGGCAGGTGGCATGTGTTGGAGGAGCGTGGCCACATCAGCAGTCAGCAGCTGCTGGCCCTGAGAGAAGTGCTACGGCCGCCAGCGTCCGCCAACAGCTTTTCCGATCCATCGGCTCTCCTTCCGAGACTTGGTTGGCATTGCTTAAAAGACCAGTCCAAATTTGCTGTGCTGGCCGAAGTGATGTGTGGCTTTCTCAGGATCGTTCTACCGCGCCACAGTAAAGTCTCCTTGGCCTCTGTGAGCCTTGGCTTTGTGACGTTCTGCGGTTTCATGTTATGTTGAACAGCCAGCAGGGTTTCATTGTGTTGTGCAGTGAGGCGGCAGGTCACTCAAACGCTTCCCGTGGCTTCTGTTACAGATAGCAACCGGGACACTCGGCTTTGGTAAGCGCAGCGACTGGAAGTATAGAAGTCGCTTTTCGTGCTCTTCGCGTGGTGGTCGACTGCATCCGAGGAGCCGCCTGAGCCGCCAGCTCCACACTTAAAATCCTTATTGCTATCCCTTCCACGACGGAAGCGTGGGACAGAGCTGTCCCCCTGAAGGTGGAAGTAGATGCAGGCTTTCCCCTCTGATCACATTGGCGAAGGGTCAAAAAGATGCCCACTTCGTCGGTCATCATGGTTTGCAATTTGTAGCATGCCAGCCAGTAGGAAGGATCAATCCATGTGACTCATTGCAGGCAACCTGCGGTTGCACTACGGCCTTCTAGGAGGCCAGCTAGCTGTTTATAGATTTTGATGAATGGCGAGCTTTAGCACACTTGCTTCCAGGCCCAGTGCTCACCAAAAGGCAGACTACGCATTTGATTCAAGGCGAGAGAGAACATGATGGGGAGCAGGCATTGGACGTTGCAAGACTGTCTTGACGAGGCTTGAAGACAGAGTGCAATTGCCAGTGTCTCACCATTTCCGAGGGAGTTTTCAAATGACGTGCTTGTGGTGGATTGTGGAGTGACTACCAAGATTAATCTATGATGCCGAGCCTTTGCAGGTCAAGTTGACTCATGAAATGTTTTCTTCAGGGCATATCATGCGCAACCACGTCCAGAATGTTGTGTGAGGTCTTCCCGTGTGGTGATGTATCCGCGCAGGCCCTGACTTTTCGTAAGCAAGCCGCACATCGCTCATCCTGGACACGCATTTGATTTGTTTGCTTTCAGCCGTTCATGTTTTGTTTTGGCTGGAGCTTCGTCAGTGTAACGGTCATGCACGCAACAGAACCATCACACATTTTTGTTGGACATGAGCAGGTGGTAGGCTGTGAGCAGCAAGCACCATCAACATGTTTCTGGCATAGCTGAGCAAGCAAAACCAGCTGGCATTGCCATGGCGAGTGTCACCAGTGCAACCGTTGACAGCGCAGACATTGTCAGGCAAATTTGATGGCATGTAGCAACAGAATCATTGCCTGAGGTAGGCGTGTGAGTTGCAGATCCGTTCAGCACATGTGTAGCATTGAGGCTGATTCTCCAGCCTCTTGGCAGCACTTAGAAGGCTTCACGGCCTCTATGTGCCTCCCAAAGTGGTGCAGCTTTCTGCGAGGTTCTGCAAAGAGAACAGCTTATTCAGGCCTTGCAAACTCTCTGTTTGTTCATGTGCGTGTTGTCTGGACTATCAGTACCGTTCTGGATAGCAATTTGCAATGAATCTTGTGCCGTGAGGACTTTGCAATGTTTGCAAGAAGAGTCACGGGTGTCTCTAAATGCCGTGGACTCCTTGGATGCGCTCCTGAGTGATGTGAACAAAGGCAGGAGACTAGCAGCTTTGTGGCCTGCCAGTTCTGTTTACAGCTAGCGCATGCAAGCAGGTCACTGGGACACTGTTCTGCTGCTTGTCTCAAGTTAGGCACAGAAAACTGGTACGTCCAAGCATGTATCTCTGCCTTCAGGCAAGCAGTGTCCTACTTGAGCCTGCCGCCGAACGTCCTACAGGATCTGTACAGCCAGGCCAGCCCTTGCTAGAAAGCAACAGGCTAGGCCATCAAAACCGAAAGCAGCCGAGATCATTTGACCCGTTGGCGTTTGTGCAGGTTGTGCTGGAGCTTGCCGAGCTGCGCGAGGTGGAAACTGCCCACCACTTGCTTCGGGAGACAGCTCCAATGAACGCGCTGAAGCAAGCAAATCCCGAGAGGCGCAGCTCAGAGCGTAGCGATGCATGGGTTGTTACCAGATTGCGCTACGCTTTGGCCCCTGTTCCCCTGGCCCCTGGCAGGTACTTGCGAGTCGAGGCTTGGAAGTTGTAGTAAAGTCTCAGCCTTTTGTCTCGCGTTTGACTCCCAGCCGGAGGCCCTGGTCAAGAAGCATCACTTCGACGCTGCTGAAGCCTACGAGGGCATGAGCAAGGAGAAGATCCGAGCAAATCTTGCCCAGAGTATCAGCAACACGGCGGCATGGGCTGCTCATTCCGCATAGATTCAGGTCACCTATCCTGCCCTGGGCAAGATGACATTACCCATCAAACATAAAAGAGGCATTCGAAGAGAATAATGTCTACAGCCCCCCACAGCCACAGCGCTGCCAAGGCAAGCACGTCCAGGTCGCCTGTCGCAGCCTATCCAGCATGCTGCATGAAGCGGACTCTGAAGGCAGACCTCAAGCAGACGTTGTGCAGGTGGCTCCTCCATCGCGTTTGCTGGCGCTGGTTGGCCAGGCTATGAAGTGGCAGCAGCATGTGGGCCTGCTGCCAAAAAATGCCGCACGAGCGCATTTCAGTGGAAAGTGACGGTTTATCTCCTCGGGCTGTGTAGACGGTTCCGCTTTGCAAGGGTGAAGTCGGAAAGTTTGAGGCGTGGGCTGTTTTGGACTGTGTATTTGTGTGACAGCAGACGGCACTGCATCTCCCTGGTCCAAGCCAAGGCACGGATTGATGTTTTCAGAGGTGTGGCCAAAGATGCCGAAGTTGAAGCAGAAATGTGTCCCACAATGGTTGCAAGAACTGTTCCTTGGAACTCAAGAAGTCATATCTGCCTTGACTAAGCCACCTGCCAAGAGAGTTGAACCCGCATCAAATGGCAGCCAGGTTAAGTTTGGCGCGAAATCTCACCCAGAATGCGTGACATTTTCGCCAGATGGGCAGTTTTGCGTATCCGGGTCAGTTGATGGCATGGTTGAAGTTTGGGATCATCAGACTGGCACTCTGCGGAAGGATTTGCAGTACCAAGATGAGGGGAGCTTCATGATGCACGACAAAGCAGTTATAGCCGTCGCATTCAACAAGGAGTCGGAGCTTCTGGCGACAGGATCACAGGATGGTCAAATAAAGGTGTGGAGAATAGCCACAGGGCAGTGCGCCCGCCGCTATGAGAAGGCTCACAGTGAGGGCATCACCTGCATCACATGGGCCAAAGACTCTTCGCAACTTCTTACTGGCTCCTTTGACTTCACAGCGCGAGTGCATGGCATCAAGTCTGGAAAGACGCTGAAGGAGTTCAGAGGTCACAAGTCCTACGTGAATAGCGCAGTCTACACAAAGGACAATGCACGGGTTGTCACTGCCTCCTCGGATGCATGGCATGCACTGAGACAGCTCCCACAGCCTGAGCAAGTCCTTTGCTCCTTCTGTGTTTCACTGCTTTGAGGACAGCCATGTCATTGTCTTTGATGCGAAAACTACGGAAATGATTAATACCATCACGCCACCTCCGCCATCACACTGCAGCTCCATCATGGACTACTCTGTGAATTGTGCGCCGCACCTGGGGGGTGATGTGCGTGGGCATTTCTGGAAAGTATATTGTCAGCAGTATCCGCATGCGATAGCGGCAACACGAGGCACTCATCGCTCCAAAGATCCCTGGATACAGTGAGCATGAGGATTTGATATTTGAATCTTGGCCTGGCTTTCTCATGTGAAGCTGGTGCCTTGTCATCGCCATACAGCAGCTTCAGCTCCCAAGGTTTGCACACGCACCAACACCATTTTGCTTCTTAGTCGCAGTAGTCATGTCATGCAGCAAGAGCAACAGATGTGTAGGAGGGTTGTCCTAAGTGTCAGGCTCATGAACCTTGCGGGGCAGGCCGGTTCTCAGTACTCAGTCAGGGACTTGAAGTTCAAGAATCTTCTAGCTTAGGCTCACGCCTGTGATTGTGTCGTTGCCAGCGCTTGCAGCATGCTCACTTGGAGGTGCTAAAGAGCTTTTGCTCCGGAAAGCGTGACAAGGGTGACTTTGTAGCCATGAATCCTGCCAAGTTATGTGTTGTATGGCAATGCTTGCTGGACACTCCCACGCTTACCCGGCTAAAGTTGCACGATAAGGACCACATCACCGAAAGGTGAGTGGTTATATGGAGTTGCCGAAGACAACACATTGTTGCTAGGCAGCATTGGAACTATGTATGTTTCGCAATCCCAGTCAAGGTAGTACGTTGTGAGGTATTGCTTCTCGGTGGCATCAGGGGCGCTGGAGCAAACGCTGAAAGTGGCAGAAAAGGAGGCGGGCCTTCTGGACTCTAGATTGGCTTTGATTGCTCAATTCCCCAACATGCATCGCACAGGTCATCGGGATTGCCCATCATCCATCTCGCAATGTTATGGCTGGTTTCGCCGGCGATGGCTCCATGGTCTTCTTGAAGGCGTGAAGCCTCCTGAGGAATTGGAGCGGCGACAAAAAATGCACAAGGGTGATGCTCACTTGTGCGAATGGGCTTGGCCGTTGCACATGTTGCACATCCCCGATGCACAAGGTCAAGTGTCTAGGCAAGGCTAGGATTGTAATTGAAAGGACGATCTCGCGGTCGAGACGGGACATGCCTGATCTTCATCGCAGCATTTACGTGGAGCAGGCGGCTTTGAACCGTGCAGGTGTAACATTCGGCGTTTGGATTGCTATGCCTGAGGAGGATGCTCCAGATAACGGCGTCACCGGCGCAGGTGCGCAGAGCTCCTTGGCTGCAGCTGCAAGGAGCATGTGGACAGGGCACAGGCCCAAGCATCGCAGCTGGACCGAGGTGATGACTGCTTTGAGGCTGGCGGGCCACCAAATTCAACTTTCTCAAAAAATTGTCACTGCTCTCGCTACGGCTTTTGCTCCTGTAGTTGTTGCTGTTGTTTTCATGTGAGATTCCTCTGCATCCTAGAGTTGCTGCCAACCTCCCATTGTTGGTCTTGTTTGAAGCAACTGACATGGCAAGGTCCCTCCCGAACGCAGAGGGCGAGGCCACGGCCAAGGCCAGAGCAGTGCTCGGACAGCAGAAAGGCAGAAAAGTCAGAATCTAAACTCCTTGAAAGGGTTATAGAAGGGAGTGTATGGGGGACTGTTATAGGGATTATTCAGGGGGATACTAGGAGTTTTGACGATGGCTCTAGTAAGAGTATGAGGAGGACTGGAGAGGACTGAGGAGGACTGAGGATGAGAAGGGGGTTCCGTTTTGGGGTGTACGGTAGAGGCTCATTTTTGAGGAGTTCTGCTTGCTTTTAGCTGTCGGGTCCAACTGTGAGGATGGCAATCTCCGAAAATGACTGGAACCACATCAAAACACTGGACAGCTCCTGCAACATAAAGAACACAAGGAAGCACAGGATACATCAAACAACCAGAGAGCATAAGATATGAACTGTGCATCCGTGTACTTAGGCCTCAAGATTTCACACTTCACACAGGCGTACGAGAATCGCATGTAGGTTTCAGCATGTGCAAGTTCTAACATCAGGTATAGTTGTAGACAGCAGAACTGTAGTTGCAAGCCACTGCGCTGTATCATGCCAGAGAACACAGAGCAGCGTGTCGCAACTGACATCTTCGCAATGCTGATGTTCGCACTTAGGCAGTAGACGTGGTATTATACACGGTAATCAGTATCATTATCGGGATTGGCATTGGCTTCCCGAGCCTGGCGGTTTGAACACACCGATCTTCGACATAGCCAGACTGCATTGAGTGATGACCTGAGTTGTACTAGTAGCTGAGGTCCTTCTCGCAGCAGAAGCCCCCCAAGAGGTGCCTTGCCGTGTTTTCGGTCGTCTTTGCTGCTACCATGCCTATTTTGTTTCTTGTCATTGTGAGCGTTTTCGGCCTGGCCACATCTTTCGGCCGCTGCCATTTCATCTCAGTGCTGCTTTGTGCTGGTTGAAGGCTGGAAGGAAATGTGTGGTCATGACTAGCAGCTGCCATGGCAACTTTCTAGCATGAGGGCCTCACCGCGTGTAGGGTGCTTGACGATTATCTGATTATCTTGCCAGCCGCTGCCTGCACATGAGCTCACATGCCCAGCGGCCGCCATCTTTGCTGGTTTTCCGGTGCCGTGTTTCTGGCGGTCCCCTCGCTGCGTGTGCCGCCAGCGGCAGGAAGCGGCAGGGACCCCCTGTCTTGTTGCCAGCTTTTCCGCCAAGGTGGGGACCTTGCAATGCAGATGGCTCACCTTTGCTACTGGCCCAAGGCCGCTGTGTCCCTGATCTAGGGTGCAAAGCTCTGCAAAACTGCTGCAGGCTTGGCACGGCGCAGCCTGCAGTGCAGCCTGCGCAAGTGCGCCCTCCGAATTTTGACATGCACCTGAGCATCCTGAAGGCAAGAAAGGTGGAATTTGTGCCGCTCAAGAGGGTGACCAAAATGCAGGAGTTGCGCTCTGACGCTGCCGCTCCAGTCGATCGCAAGGGTGCGGTGGCTCTTCGTGAGCAAGTGATGGGGCAGGAGCGCAACTCCCAGAAGGCCAGCATGGTCGGCATGGTCAAGCATGGTCAGGCATGGGCATGACTTTCTCTTCAGGGTCAGGGGGAGAGGCAGTAGTATTGGCATACCCAACGCTTTCACCATCAACCATGCTTTCAAACGCATTTCCCACGTTGTCCTAGTCCTAGCTGTAAATCTTCGTGGGCAGCCGAGTATCCTGCAAGGCAACAAAGTAAAGTGGAGGCAGCTCACGTGCTTCCTAATCTTATCCAATTTTGCACGGGGCATCTAGCTAGCTGAACACTTTGAATTGGTTCGTGACCGTTTGCTTCTCTCCCCAAGAGGACTACGACTTTGAAGTGCTGGTGGCCATCATGCTTTCTGCACAGACCAAGGTGCTGAGCGTGAAGTCAGGTGAGGGGGAGTGACCAGAGCTGGGCAGGACAGCGTGACCTACGAGACCATGCAAAACTTGCGTGTCTGCGGGATCAACGCGCAAGCCATCCTAGACATGACGGAAGAGAGGCTTTCCAAACTCATCGGGAAGGCGTGGGTCTGGGGATAAAAAATGCAGCGGTGCCTGGTACATAGGTATGGTGATCAGCCTGCAGGTGAACTACCACCGCCGCAAAGTCCAATACCTCAAGAAGACTTCCCAGCTATTGTTGGAACGGTATGGGGGCCACGTGCCAGACAGATTGTCTGAACTGATGGAGCTTCCAGGTGCAGCAGATGCAGCAGCCTGGGCACTCAACCTTGATGTGTCAAACTGGCCCCCACCGCCAGGCGTTGGTGAGAAAACGGCCCTGCTGTACCTCCAAGTGGCCAAGGGCAAGGCCTTTAGGGGGAGAGCGAGTGAGCCGTCCAGACTGTTGCTTACACTGGTGCCAGGTGGAGGGCATAGCTGTGGACACTCACGTGCACAGAATTGCGAACGCCCTTGGCTGGACGGGGGTGCCAACTAAGACAGCGCAGCAAACGCGCCGGGAGCTGGAGAATCGGATTCCACGAAAATTTTGGGGAGTCATCAACCCTCTGGTGGTCGGAGCCTGTGCCATCGTTCTAACATGCTTTCATATTGCTCGCAGTGCGGACTTTCCACAGGGACATGCTGTGATCCGAGGATTTGGTCAGGAGTTGCGCGAGAACAGGTCGTCGATTCTGCATAAGTGCCTTTCGTGCAGTCACCCGCGCCTAGCCCTGCAGCTACTGGCCGATTGCGGCATGCAAGTGAGGAGGGAGTTGCTTGACAGCTATGGAACTCATTGAGTTAATCCATGTTCATCCGAAAGAGGGGTGGCGACGTACTGAAGGTCAGGGAGAGACATCGCTGTAGCTCCTTCATGGCAGGGCTCAGCATCTGAATTCTGTCGCAAAAGTCTCCAAATCATGGTAACCAGCTCAGGATGGAGAAGGCTGGGCTGCAAGCCGGAGACTTTCTGGACAAGCCATGCTGAAGGACCTAAACAACACGAATGAGGCTTCACGATGACCTCTTGGGCTGGAAGCACTTTGCCACTGGCAAACGCGCAAGCGCAAAGAGGAGGTGAACTATCATCTGTGTGATCTGCAACAGCGAACAAGACCAGCTTCGAGGTGCTGGACATGGGAGGTGCCGCTGGAGATGCAGTGAGAGGGGCCTGAGCCATCATGCAAGGCCTCGATACATGCTTACCCTATGTTGTTGTCCGTCTTCATCTCACGGGACTTGGTTTCTGCGTGGGTAGAAAAGGCTGAGCTTGGGAAGCGGCCTGCCCTGTGTTGTACTCGTATGTGCGACCGTACTGTTATGCAGAGAGTGACAGGCTCGGCTGCTGAGAGGTCCGTGTCCCCTGTGCTGGTACCCCAGTGCCAGTACTGACGTTTTCGCAAGAGTCGAGTGGCTTGCCTGATGGGAAGTCCAAACAAGGCTCTTCAAGGAAAACTCCGTAATCTGTGCTTGCTTGGATAATGTATAGGGCTTCAGGGTGTGCGGAACGCAGCCATTGATTCTTTCCACTTTGCTGCTCGCATTGTCTCCACACAATTTTAGGCAACATGGCTCCTCAGGCTTCTGCTTCGTGTTGGGAATATAAAAGTTGCCATGTGAAAGGAATTTTGGCAGCCTGCCGCAATATGTCGGTTTCTCTCAGGTCCGTTGGCTCCTCCGTACTAGACGCGGACTGGCATTTCGGAGCTTCAGCGGCGTTGCCATAAAAACCATGCCCTCCCACTAGGAGACTGATGGCCCTGGCAAAGCTGCTGCAGCACGTGCAGAGGCTGGCTGAGCCTGGGTGTGTGCTCGAAACCTTACAAATCAAAAAGTTTCTCAGTGCAGGTTGTCCCGGGAGCACATAGGAGAGCCCATCTTGCTCCTGTTGAGCTTTGGTGGAGCATGCTTGATGAGCTGCAGGACTATGAAAAGTTCTGGCCCAGCCTGCCACCTGAACCTCTGCATGTTGCATATTATGCTTGCACACATTTCCTCATGCGACAGCAAGAGATTCCCTCAACTGAACTTTTGTTTCACCTGATGTTTCTGAGCCTGCAGCCGCTTTCGCCCATCTTGTGTAGTGTGTTGCCCGCGCCTGGTGCTGCTGGCGTGATGGGCGCGGAGACGTTGCGGTTTGCTTTCGTTATGCCGTAACTTGGCACAGACCGGAAATTAAAATGCAATCTTGTGGCGTGATCGTGCGCCGACTGCCGACCTTCAGGATGGCAACAGGCCACTTGAACCCAAGCTTGCCGCTTGCTCGTTCGCTGCTACAGCTGGGACATGAAGTTCACTACCTCTCCCGGGCCGCAGCCTCAAACTTGTGCACCCGACACTTTGCAGATATGAACTGCCATTGCAGTATGAATGTGTTCAGCCTTTCAGTGAGTTTGGGTTCAGTGACGCATCTCCGCGGCCTGGCACCACACAGACACAGGATGTAACAAACAGCAGTCTCCCCTTTGTGGTGGGTGCAAAACGAAGGCAGTTTAGAGGATGGCATCCGCGACCTTGGGTTTTGGCCTAAACGCATGACGACGGGGTTGTTTCCTGGTTGGGATTCTCTGGGTTCGATGTCAATCAGAAAACGCGCAGGGTGTTTTTTTTGTCAAACCTTCCCCAGCGTTGCCAAGCATTCGCAAGATCTTCGGACAATCGTGGCATGGCTATCCTCGTAACTGTGCCTGCTTCTGGACCCTCATCTCTATGTCATGTGACATTGAACAGCTGGGGATCATACGGGGGGTGGCCCTCCTGCTTCGTTGTGGTTCCATGGCTGTGTTGCATGTCAGAACGGAAGAATATCAGCGGGATGGAGGGTGTACTCTCAGACGCCCTGAACACTAACGTCCTGAAGATAGAGCTTGAACCCAAAATTCAAAACCCCATCAAACGACCCTGCTCCATTACACCCTAAATTCCCAGCGCACTTCCAACTTTAAGGCTGACCAACCGTACCTGTACCTCCCTACTGTAGAGCCTTGAACCGACACATGCGCTGGTGTGGCCGAAGGGTCAGGTGATGGACCCTGATTTGGCGTAGAAAGCCTGGAAAGCACTTGTATGGAATGCCCGAGGCACAAAGCAGACAAACATTACAAGTCAAATCCGAAAAACTTTGGAAAAGCCTTGGGCATGGGCGTGCTGAGGAGTCGGTCCGAACGGCCATTGAGAAAACGGGCGCAAGCTTCACGGATGCGGCTCAGGCGCCGAGTAGCGTGCTCGATGAACCATTTGCATAGCTCCGCCCCGTGCTAGGAGCAAATGGAGCTGTACGCAGACCGTGACGAGGAGAGAGCTTCGTGCAGTAACAAAAAAAGCCACTACTTGTGCTATTGTCAAAGGGTTTTGCCGCCACTGCATTTCAATCGTGCTTTTTCTGGTGGGAGCACTGTAGCACATATGCTGCAGGACATCATGGGTGCCTTCAAGGCAGTTGCGAAGGAGCAGGGCCTGGAAAACGTTCCTTGCCTCCAGCGCAAATGTGGGATTGCCAAACCTTGGTTGTCAGGAGGTTTTCTGTCATATGGAATATAGAAGCCCGCACACTTTTAAAAGCTTGGACAGCCAGTTGACTGCTTGAACTTGAGTTGCTCCCGAGCGGATGTCGTACAAGGGGTTTTAATTGTTGAGGATGTGTGTTGTAAAGTGAGCCGAGCTGTTTCACACGCGTGGTGCTGCCCAGGCGCCGATGATGGTTGGTATGTGTGCTGTCTCGCCTATTCACTTGGAGCTTCAGTTGCCAGGGACACCTGCATGCTGTGATAAGAAAGCTCAGCTGTTTTTCCACGTCTAGAGGCCTGAGCATAGCAGCAGGACCATCCGATGGCTGCAGCGAGTTCGGCCGGACGTAGTTGTCTTCTGTCCCATGATGATCCAGGGCCAGCATGTTTTAACAAATGATTGTAGAATTTGGCGTTTGCGGTGCTTTGTTACATGCGGGTACTTGTTATTTGCTATAAGGAATCCAGAGGCGGTCTACGCTGCCAAGTTCCTGCACATCCCTGCTGTGGGCTTGTGGACTTTTGCAGGTCCAGGTGGCATGGTGGGCATCATGAACATGTTTCTCAATCAGTCTGGCATACCCGTGGAGGAAATCATAGCTCAAGTGGATACATGTCAGCCGATGAAGGAGAGCATGTACAGGCTCCGGGAGAAGTACGACATCGATTTTGACTTCAGGAAGGGTCTTTCGCCCATGGGCTTTCTTCACACCATGTGCGAAACAAACTTCAACTTAGTGACGACAGCAGAGGAATTTCAGGACCCCTTCCCAACAGAGCTGTCTGCCGCATATTCGGAGGCGGGAGCCAGGTTCGAGTACGTTGGTCCTTTGTTGGAGTCGGTCTCGGAGGATGCCGGGGAGGCACTGCAGGCATTACTGGCAGCCCGGATGGCTGGTCGCAAGGTCGTGCTGGCCAGCATGGGCACGATCTTGACCTCAGATACCGAAGGCGTTGGCTGGAAAGACGCGCCACGGAATGGGTCTGGTGAACCGCAGGGTCTCACTGGAAAGCAGTTGTGTCAGGCTGCCTGGAGTGCCGTCTTTGATGCCTTTGGCTCGTCCGAAGCCTCGGGGGCCCCACTGCTGATCGTGGCTGTGGGTCGACAGCCCGATGCGCTGAGCGATGTGGACGTGCCTGAAAATGCACTCTGCTTACCCGTTCTGCCGCAAGTCGCGCTGTTGAAGGCCGGGGTGGATTTGTTCTTGACCCATGGTGGTCAAAATAGCTTCATGGAATCCTTATCTGCCGGTGTGCCTGTGGTGGTCTGCCCCGGATTTGGAGACCAAGCAGTGAATGCCATGAAATCCGAAGCCATGGGTGTGGGCCTGCAGGTAGAACGCCCCGTTCCCGCTCACGGCGAGGAAATGGATTCTGTTGCGGCTTACCGCGCTGCTGTTTCTGCTGCCTTAGCGCGAGCTCTACAGGAACCCCAGTTCGCTGAAAAGGCGAAACGATGTAAGGAGTGCTTGCAAGAGGCTGGGGGTGTGCGCAAAGCATGCGAGCTGCTAGTTGAGCTTGCTGGTGAATCCTACCCAAAGCTGTTGGGACGCACTGCGCTTGGAATGCCATCATGCACAGAGGTGTCAGATGCTAAGAACCCAGTTGCAACTGACCCTACACCACCTTAGCGCCGCCACAGCGCGGTGCTTTTTCCAAGGTTGGCCACACTTTTCAACTGCATGAAGTTTCAACTCTGACGGCTAAATCAACTCCTGATGTGCCGCTGACGACAAGCTGTCTCTTGGACAGAGGGCTCAGCGAGAGCGGGAGTATGACAGATTGGTGCATCAGGGCACTGCAGCAAAGCTTGCAGCTCCTGCACCAGGGCTTCGATTCCAAGGCAGCCTGAGAGCCCCAGAAAACTCCAAATGTCAGATTGCCCCCTGCAATCTTGCACCTCTCACGCGTGGCACGTGGCGCTGGTCCGCTTCCTTCCTCTTAGCTTAGCTGAGGCAACGAAGCGTGGCAAGAAGAAAGCCGAAGTCCTGGACCTTCCCGAAACATCATGTGGTGATTTCTTGAAGCAGAAGCGGATATTCTCTTCCGTAAAGCGTGGACTTGACTTGTTACTCTTACGAGTGGGACAGGTGGGTTTGACTCGACCAAGGTCCGAAGACGTGTGGCCAAAGTGCCCTCCCTGCCGCCAACTCCGCCGCCGATTCCACAGATTCCCGAGCCGACTCCCGAGCCGGTGTCGGCTCCGCAGGCACGACGTGGGCCCAAAGCTCAGGCGGGCTGCATTTTTTGCTGCGCAAGTTTCTCAGACAAGGACCTGAAAACTCGGCAATTCTCTGCAGACTGCTGCGTTGCATAGTGCTCAAAGGGCCGTGCTGCGTAGTCTCGGAGTCCTCCACAAGCATGGGATTTGGAGGCGTGCACCTGTTTGGACAATATATTGTGCCAAGCAATTGCTACCGAGGCAATGGCAAAGGCTGGGGTGGTTGGGGCTGGCCTCCGATGATGTGGTTTCCCAAGGGCTTCGGCAAGGGTAAAGGTTTCGGCCGCCGCCGTGGTCCCCGGAGCCCTGTCAGAAGAAAAGATAAAGCAAGCATTTCTGATTTGACATGATTTGACAACAACCGACGATCGATGACTTCAGTTCTCTTCGATTTGCAAAAACGCGTTTTGAGGATCGAGCCCGAAATGAAGCACGGGGCTTAGACGATTGGTGTGCACGAAGCCCGTTGTGATGCAGTGCCCTGTGCAGGATCTGGATTGGCAACCTTCCGGAAGACGCAACGTGGAAGGACCTGCAGACCCTCGGAAACACGGCTGGGGCAACCCGCTGGGTGGAGGTGTTCCGTGGCAAAGGTGGGGTAATCAAATTTGCTTTTAGCTTTTGGAGATTTGGATCCTGGAGGCAAAGGCACTGGCATGATCGCCTACAAGACGGCCGAAGAGGACGCCTTGTCGGACACTTTTTTTTTTTTTTTTTTTTAATTCCGGCTTTCAATTGCCTATCAGGTGGCCGCGGCCATGCAGTCCCTGCCTGGCCAAACCATCAATGGCCAACCCATCCAGGTCCAGACTATCGTGCATTTTGATGCAAGGGTTTGCAGAAGCAGGTTTAGAATGTTTAGAAGGTTCCCGTCATCGCTGTTCAGTGTTGTCTCTGATGTTGAGGTGGATGCCTGGCAGAAGGCTCCACCGGCGCCGCCGGCATGAAGTGGCTTTGTGGATCTCCCAGCGATCCTTGTCACTGGGAAAGCACGTGTTGTTCTGAAATTCGGTGCTTACTTTGCTGCCGTTTGACTCAGGGTTCAATTGATGGTTCCATCAGTTCCATCCCTTTTTAAAGATTACAGCGCGGGTGAAGGCGCTCCGATCACGGGTGCCAGGACATGTTGCAGATACAAATCGATACAATTCAAGATCCGCTCTGAGCCCAGGTTCGGCCTGTACCATTATGAGCGCCATTTGGGCGTTGACCGGCAGATCTTGTTGTTGAAGTCATGGGCATATCGTCGTCAACACTAATGATGATAGCTATGGTAGTAATAGTTTTCAGATTTCAAGTGCCACAAGTGAGCTTCCATCTCATGCATGTGTTCGTCATAGACGGTCCAGTAATAATTTTGACAAGTGGGAACAGATCAGAAGGTGACAGAATGGACCTGATGCAGACAGGTTCCATAACCTTTTGTCAGCGAAGATGCTTGCCAGCATCTCCTTCGACTGACCGACAGCAGACCTGCTATCAAGACTGACTGCTTGGCATGCTGGGAAAATGCTCGCATTGCATCTTGCCCTTGCAACTTTTCCTAGTTGGGCAGATTCTGACGAGCGTTTGACTTACTGTGCCGCACTCGCTTGACAGGCAGCGCAGGGCAGCATGGCGGCAGTGGCGCCTGCGGCGCCAGAAGCGCCAGCTGTGCCTATGGCTGTGCAGGCCTCGAAGCCCGAGGGCAGGCAAGGTGTGAGCAGCATCTATAAAACACGCTCAGCCCAGGATAGAGCTGGAATTGAGATGTTTGACTGGCAGGGTGCGAAAGCGGCGGCGCCCTGTGGCACCTGTGCAGGAGGTGGTTCCGCAGCGAGGCACAGGTCACTGTGCATGTCATGTGCACTGCAGCAAGCTTTTTGATGTGTTGTCTGCACGCACAAGGTTTGTAATGGTGTGCATGAGACATGACTTTATACTAACGGGCTGCAGCACGGCGACAGATAGAGGGATCCTGTCGTGACTCATTACCTGGAAAGCGGGATAGGCAGAGCCGACCCAGTTACACCACCACAGCGGCGCACAGCGGCCAAGTCCCTGCCATCACCTCCGCCTGGCTTGATTGTACGTGCCTCGAAGTGGCTTCTTACTTCGGATGGGGTGCCTGGCTGTATGCAAAATCTAGGCAGCGGACGTTCTGAGCATCGAGCTGACCGAGCCACTCCTGCGAATGTTTCGTTGCCCAGTAGCTGTCAGCATTGTTCCCACAACGAGCCGTGGCAACAGGGCTCAAATCCTTTGCGGTTGTCGCCTGGCAAAGTGAATTCCCATGTTGCCGCATCATCGACAAGAGAGCAGTCTTGACTTTTCAACTGGCGAAGTGCAAAGGCGTGAAAACATGGTTCTTGACATTATTCGTGCAGCCTGGGGGTCACACAAGTGAGAATAAAGGTGGTAAGAATCCAGACAGACCTGGAGAAGACTCCACAGACAAGCAGCCAGCCGCGGCCATGAAGCGCCACTGGGAGATGTCGCAGACACCTGCCATGGCTGGCAAGGCTGGGGCGTACTCTGGTCAATTCTCTTTACTTGCTAACATAGTTGTGTGCACAACACGGGGCAGAGCATGCTTAACAACTGGAATCGTGCTTGTGTTATCCTGTGGGCCTTCGATAGTTTTCGTTTTCACGAAATGGCAGGTGGACAGGTTCCCGCATGGGTTCATGCCGCGCAAGATGTGCAACCTGACTTATGTTAGAGTGGAGTAACTCTCTCACGATTCTGACTTGGGATGTGTTTTTTTCTTGAAATCAGACAGGCGCCTACATACAGAACGGCATGTGCCAGAAGGGCGATGCCTGCACGTTCGCGCACAGCTGGGAGGAGCTCGCGCCGGATGCACGCGAAAGCCTGGGCCCGGCACTCGGAAAGGCGTCACTGATGCGGTCTTCCGGAGTTTCGGCAGCTGAGGTGGCCAGGTCTACACGGACAATGCGAACAATCTTCATGAGATCGAAGCGGCCGAAGCGGCCCTGTTTGCCGATGAGATTCCATCAGAAATGTCTCAAGAGCAAATGGTCTCTTCAGAGATGGTCCAAGATCTTCCGCCCTCGTCAGGCAAGGGCCAGAGCCATTACTGTAGGGTCAGATAGAACGGAGACTGCTGAGTCGGTGTTTGGGCGAGGCTCCACGGGGCCTCGGATGTTCGAGGGCAACTTTCGTCCTTCCTGTCTCTGCAAAATGTGGATCCAGCACCCCACGTATTGCGCCCATGGTGACAGCTGCAGCTTTGCCCACGGCTACTCGACCAATTTTCAACTTGTTGTGGCTGTCGGCTTTTCTCTGGACCCTGTTTTGCAGGTTTGGCAGAAATGTCAACTGATTTGCAGATGGGTCTGGAAACGCTCGCGTCGACAGGCCACGACAGGAGCAGCATTGTATGACACAGAGCTTTGCAGATTTGCCCGCAGGCTTGTTTGGGGCGAAAGCGGCCATGGTTGGTGAAGCTTTCAAGGGGAAGGGCAAAGCAGCCACGGGAAAAGGTAAGCCTGGCCAAGCCGTTACCATCTACGCAGCTGTGCAAACAAATGGCAAGGGCATGGGTGTGGGCATGGGTCCAACGAACGGTGCGAATGGCAAGGGCATGAATGGCAAGGGCATGAACGGCAAGGGCATGGATGGCAAGGGCATGGATGGCAAGGGAATGGCCGCAGTAAATGCTGCTGCAGCCCCTGCGGGGACGCTTGGCTTTCAGCATCAACCTGCTTTCTGGCAATCCTTAGATCATAATCCGATTGTAAGCTTAAGCTGTACAGGTGCAGAAGTTTCAAGCAAGGTCCTGTCAGGGTAAAAAAAGGCAGCATGCCGCTGCCACATCCAAGGTCTCGCTTTGGGGATTCTTTCATGCCGACCAGGATATGCAGTTTCTGGTTGAAGGACCCGGGTGCGTGTCTAAAGGGAGATGCTTGCAGCTTTGCTCACGGCGTTGCGGAGCTGCATCTTGGTTGACGTGGTGGTCCTCACTGTCAAAGCCACATGGTTTCTTTGACAGCAGTTTTCAAGAGAGTTCAGTGCGAAGAGCTCAGGCATCCAAATTCTGTGCAAGAGTGTGGCGTCAGTCGATTTTTGCACACCGGTTTCACGCCCCGCGTGCCTTGATTTGAAGTCATGGACTTGCCTTTAGATGCAACATGATGTGGAAGTGGCTGTGCTTCCAGGTGATGTGCAAAAATATCCATAGTGAGCACGGCTGCTACAAAGGCTCGCAGATTTGTTTCAGAAGCAAGCCGGCACGAATGTTGCAAAAGTTCGCTCTGCCAGGTTTGTGGTGCACATACGCACATAGTGCGGAAGAGATGGCGTGAGGATGTTGAGCTTTGAAGGTTTGCCAGGTGATCCGGATACCGTGCGTGTCTAGAGAATCCACGCGGGCCATTTGCAAGGGTGGCGCAGCCCACCTGTCCGCAGTTAGGACCGCAACAAAGAGCGCGAGAAATGTGAGGGCTTTGGCATGTTGATTGACATATCATTTTCCATCTGATCTGGACGCTGCCTGAGATTCGCTGAATCATAAGCTCATGGCAAACAGGTGTCTATATAATGGTTACAGGTGGGCAACCCTCAGAAAAGTAGTTTCAACCCTACAGAGCTTGACATGCCAGAATTGAAGCGCTTCTTTCTGCCTGCCGCGTAGCATGGGGAGCCTCGTGGCAGAGGAGGCATTCAAAGCGGCGGAAGCCTATTTCGAGAGGAACGGGGTGCGGACACTTTTGACCGATATCCTGATTGAGCTAGGCCGGGAGCAGCCCGCAAATCCACTGGCAGCAATCAGATCGCAGCTGGAAAAGGTGGAGAAGGCACAGGCGGCGAGAGCACAAGGTCTGGACGACGTTGAAGGGCCAAATGGCGAGCTTGAGCGGGAAAGGCTTCGGCATTTCTCAAATGGTGGCACTGATGATACTAGTGCACGCCCAGCACTGTCAGCAGTCGGTGAGGCTGAGCTGCCAGCAGTGCCACCATTAGAACCCCAGGTTCCGCAGCCTGAGATTCCCGAAAAGCAGCCAGACACAGAGGAGCATGATGCCGACAGCAGCCTGCTTCAGGCTTGGGCTTTGAACCTTTGGATTTAGGTGGTTCCGAGCCAAGCACTGACATAAATTCCACCTGCCAGGTGGATGCCCTGCGCCTCCTGGTGGACGAGCGCCTGGCGTCTTCAGCAAAGGGGCCAGGGCAGGACCTCTCGAAGAGATTCTTGATTTGAATGGAGACCTTTCCATACAACAGGTTACTTCAGGTGGCCAAGCTGCCGTTACTATTCCACAATCTGTCTAAGTGCGTGAATCAGTCTTGACTGCAGGCCGTGCATGGGGTGGCGGCTTCAATCGCGATGTGCTGGAGCGAGGGCTTGCTGCGTAGAGTGTATGCTGCTACGGCTGCAGATGTTTTGGTGAAGGAGAGTTGGGTCCCACAGCCCTCCCCATGCTGCGCGGCTGCCTCTGTGGCTGGTGCCTACAACTGTCTTTGGCATCTTGGGCGAGGGGCTGATGCCTGTGCCAGCCTCGGACTGCCACTCCGGCATTTGCTCGCATGCTTTGGATGTCCGCTGCAGTCTCCCCCACGCAAAAAGGACCGTGTGTTGTGATCTGGCAGAACGTGGTTTCCCGATGAGTGGCCCAGGCACGATCCGCGAGGTGGCAGATATCATGGCACAAAACAAAGAGATCACGCATGCCAGGCAGCAGCGTCGGATTGAAACTTGATTGTCAGAGCGCACAGAGTAATGCTATGAGTTGTTAGACGTTTAGACCCTAAACCTTGTCCAAGATTGCCTAGGGCTCAAGGCTCACGATCCTATAAAGGTGATTCTCACGTTTAGAGCAATGAGAAACGCATGCTGTGTGCTTTAGGAAAGACTTCTGGGAGTGGCGGAGGGCGGTTTGGAGGCATTCTACATCTTGTTGGATAACCATCTGGCAGCCAAAGGGTTGACCTGGACGGGCAAGGGGCCTTCGGCTGTGACGAAAGCTGCTGCGCATCTGGCAACGCGATGCTTGGTTAGCAAGAATTTGTTGCGTACAACGCTGTTACGGTGACGTGAGGCCTATGGTCAACAGAATCCGAGGTGAGCTGCTGACTTGGAGCGGGGACCCTGCCCCAAAGCAGGCAGCAGAAGAGTCGCCCCCCGTGCCACAGGAGCCACCTGCTGAGCAAGCGCCTGATGGCGGCGATTTGGAAGCTGCAGGTGTGATGTTGCAAAACAGGGTTTCCTGGCCGTCCCGCCAGGTTTTTCCAGGTAAGTTGCCCACTTACGCAACTCTAGTGAACATTTGCAGTTCATGTCTTGCCGAGTGCGGGCGATTGAGAGGCTTGGGGAACAGATGCAGTTCATGTCATGTCAGGAGCGACAGAGCCAGCAGCTCCAAATCCTGATGCTATCCAACATGTCGAGGCTGAAGTGTCAAGAGACCCCGATGCACTTTGGCAGATGGAGATCATTTGCTAGCTTTCAGCTGTAGGGCATGTTCTGCCTCTCAGCCTAGGCAACCATGAAGCAGGGTGAGGGTGGTGTCTTGGTGACCGACGTTTTCGCGGCCTTACACGAAGTTTTACATACCGAATACCAAGTGCCCGAGGACGATGAGGACGACAAGGCAAATCAAAGAAGGTCAGATCAGTTGGGGAGGTATCTGGAGGTGGTGCTGATGGTGCTGGTGGTTCTGGAGGGGTGGTAGTGACATGATTCCTGGTTTATCATACCACACACCGACACTTGCACATGATCTCCAGGCTCAGGCTTGCGAGGTTGTCCAGGATGACAGGGCCATCAAGTGGAAGATGCTTGGGTAAAACAGAGGGGGGAAAAGGTGCCAGGAGGCCGAGGGCGGTAGCAATCCTATGCAAGCCAATTGTGGTATTGTCATTAAGCCTGTAGCTCTTGCACGCCGAGGAAGGAGCTTTCCGAGCTTTTTACAGCTCGAAAGGCTGTCTTCAGGCGCCATGCGGATTTGTGTTTGTCATAGACCATGGCAGATGCTCAGTGCCTTGCTTGGTGTGGGAGTTTCGCATTTTCGCATTGTCGCTAACACTGATTCTTGTACTCTTTCGATCTGCGTCAGGCTGCGAGCAGAGCGCCCCAACACTTCTGAAGTTGGGAGCGGCAATCTGAAGCAAGCTGCTGAACAGCTGGGCACCAACCGTACCCAAGATTCCTGGCATCATGGGTGCAGAATGCTTCTCGAAAGCAGCGTGCGTGCCAAGCATCATCAGTTGTCTTACAAGCGCCTCTGCAAAATGCCTCAGGAGTCACTGAAGGTCACTTGCTTGCTTGGGCGCAGACAGAGTTTCAAGAACATCGCTGCGGTGGTTTCCAAAGGGGATGGAGAGCCTGACGTGCGAAAGCAGTGGACAATCCTGAAGCAGGCATTCGTAGATCCAAGCAGTGTCCTGCTCTTCCACCTCACCAACCACTACGCTCTGGTCTTTGCGTGGCGCGAATGGTCCGAAACGGGCGCCTCTGAGGTGGGCCAAGTCAGACATGATCTCTTTGTCAGGTCAAGAGTTCAAAATGTACATGTTCTCTGGAAACCATGTTTCCTGAGGAAGAGATCCTCAGGCGCCAGATCCTCACATCGCGCCGTGGTCAGCGGCCGAGCGCGTGGATGGAGTTTGAGGAGGTGCGAAAAATCCTGCATCTGGGATGCTTTTGGAACCCCGCCATGGCCCTGCGCTTCACATAGACGGGCTTGCGCACGTGTGCGTGTTTGGCGTAATGAACCAAGGTTGAGCTGGAGTGGCTACCATGTGCTTCAGCTTCAGCGCCAGAGCCAGCTGGACAGGGGCGATGGGTCAACCGTAGCCATGGTCCCCGGTGCATCCGAAGAGCCAGATGACGTTGAAGAAAAAATGCGTCAGGGCTGGCATTTCTTGCGTGGCATTTTTTGCGGATCCATTGTGGCCGCTGGAGCATGACAGGGCAGAGCAGAAGGAGCTCAAGGAGAGTGTGGTAAGCCATGTCAGGACAGGTGATGCAGATCTGCTTCCAATTGTTGATTGTCAGCGGACGCTTGCTCGACGAGAGCATGACGGCCCATCAGTTCCGTTTAACCCTGCTGGAGGAAGACGGTGCAAGCGGACGATGATGAGCCAGATATTCTGGCAGCATCCCCATGCATCCCCAAGTCAGACGAGCTTCGCAAGGCAAATGATAGATGGCTACTCTGGGCTGCGAAGGCGGAGTTCGTCTGCGTGCTCCTGGATCGGTCAAGGTCTTACTGCTGGGAAGTCAAACTGCTACAGCATCTCACCCCTCTCGGCTATTTAGCAATCCAGGCACCGGCAAGACAGGAGTGACAGTATCCTCCTGCCGAGGAGGAAATCCAGCCCTGAGATGTTGGAGGAACTGTCCGTCATGGATGACGAGGCAGGCCGAGCTGGATGGGATGGGTTCATGCATCTGTGGATACGAGTCAGGCTGGGCCATTCGTGAGTTGGTTGCAGAAGGAGAAGGCAGCCGCCTTCAGCCCACCTCTGCCCGCCATGTTGCTGCCTGCACTGATGGGATTCTTGCGGTAGCCTCATGCTTCACGCTTAGGCAGCTATCTTGGCACGTCGGCCACGTACACCACTGCCAAAGGTTGGACGCGAGCAACGCGAGCACACCTCCTGAGATCCTTGCTATGCCAGAGGTGCCACAGGTGCCACCTGACAGGCCGCCAGGACAGTTCACGTTGGAACCCCGGCATTTCTCTTGCAGAACCCGGTAAGCAACAGCTCATATGGGAGTAGCGCTGAATCTTTCTCGACGGTGTGCGTGAGTTGGTACTTGTTTCAGCCACAGGCCACTTCCACCTCGAAACCATGCCATGCTGACGCCAGAGCCTTCTGCAATACAGCTAGGTTGACATGGACGTCTTGGCATGTCTGAGGTTTCAGGATGCAGGGATTCTCAGTGCTAAAGGAGGAAGTTTAAGTTCTGACGCTTGCCCGCCTCGCCTAGGCCCAATGCTGTGACAACTTCGCTGGAGGAGTCAGCCAAGGTCTTTCTGCTCTGCCAAGCTGTGCACCGATCGTGCAGCGGGACTTTTGTGAATGCAGGTGGTGGACAGATCTCAAGACAAGGGCCTGGTCGTCATTACCAGCCGCCTCATCCTGCAGCTGGCCCCCGAGATGTGAGCTGAGCACTGTTGCGAAATGCCGGTTTTTCTGTTTCTTCCGGATGGCCCGAGGCCAAATAGCGGGCACAGCTCATCCGACTGGGTTGGCAGAAAGCCACAGTGGACATTGGACCGATTCCTGAAGCGCTGCGTGCATGCCAGGACAGCAGCCGCCAGGACAGCCAGAAGTGGTGGATTGTGAGAAAGCAGGCCGACAAAGTGGCACGATCAGAATGACTTTCCAATGGCTGAGATTAGATGAGTATTTAGCCCTCCCCCACTCCATGATGCCTCTCGTTTTTGCTGAGTCATCCATAGCGGGATGCATCTCCCAGGGCTGCCGTCATTTGCAATCGGCCGGGCTTGCGAATGAAGCAAGTTGAGAGCAGATTTTTCTCGAGTCCATTATCTTGTGGTTTCTGAAGAAATGATGGATGTTGTGTCCCGAGCCAGACGTTTTTGGTATAGTAACCTGGCTTGTCAAGTATGGCAAGGGAGTCCTTGCTGTTCAGATATGCAACCGTTAGTCAAAGCTTGACATCAAAAGCAGGCCCAGTTTCAGCAGCTGAGAAGAAGGCCGAGGACGGAGCAAGAGGGAGAGCAGAGCAGGAGTGTTCTCCTGGCCTTCTTCAATCTCAGCTTCAGCCTTGCCAGAGGAGGCATACCAGAAAAAGATGGACCTTCTGGCAGAGATGACTAAAGAGCTGCAGGTGATGTGAAAGCAGCATCTGCCAAGCAAATGATTTTTTCCAGCTGGGATGAGGTCATCCTGCAGCGGCTTTCGGATAAGAACTTGTGTGACAGCACTCGCGAGAGGTGCGCGGCTTGCAAGGGGGGTGCGGAGAGCGAGGTCTTGCAGAGTTCTCCAAAGAGTTGCCGCCGGATTCTTGTCTGAGGTATCAGACCCTGGCCCAGACGATCCAGAACAGAATGTCGTCCTTGTGCAGCGCTTGGTGTAACACAGCTGGGCACACCTGCTTGCACACAAATTTTCGAGGTCACGGCCATACTTTTCCGAGAAGCCTGTGCCACGGCGGCAGTTTGAAGCCAGTGCTCGTAGGGATGCTTTGCCAAGCTCAAGACAGCTCGGAAGCGGTGCGCCAAGGAGAAATCTTATCAGCCGGCAGCTGCGGGCAGTGGCAGTGGGAACTCGCCCCCAATGTCGCCCGCGTCCCCACCTGCCATGCCTGTTCCAGCTCTTTCGACTGCCTCAACTACAGCGTTACCTGCATCGCCTGCGTTTGGAGCGGTGCCCGTGGCTGCTTCTGCACCTGCTCAATCACTGCCAGAGGTAGTGACAATCTGACCAGTCAAGAGGCTTTTCAGGAAGTCCTCCAGCTTCCACCATACAGCGCAGTCTCACAAAGGACGTATGTCCTCCTGTACAAAAAAGTAGGAACGGCAACAGGATGCCTGTACTCTCTTGAATCCTGCGGGCACCAAGGACAGTGCCGGACCCAAGCAGGAATTCACAGCAAACATCAGGCCATGCTAAATGCTGGCTGTCACTTCTTAGAGCGATCAGCGTCGAAATGATGACCTACAGTAGCAGCCTACTGTGACAGGGCATCTGCTCGTCGCCAGACCTTTGATTCAGGTTGCATGCCTTCTGCAGCTATTGAGCCAGTGGCTCAAGACAGCCCAAAGCTTTCGGATGAAGGTTGGGCTCTGGCTTGTTAATGTCAGTTTGACTCGCTCCTCGGCCTAGCTCCAACTTGTTTCCGAGCCTATCTTAACCTGCAGCTGCCCCTTAGTCAGGCTGCCTGGAGATGGTGTCCAAGCGGGCTTAAGGCTTAGCGCCTGTGGTTCTCAGACTCTTGGATTCTACTGGACTGAGCACCCTGAGCTTCATAGGCAAGCTTGTGAATGAGCTATCCAAGGCCCTGCCCATTTTCCGCGCTAGCATGCGCTCAACAATGTACAAACTAGGCGGGGAACGGAGGGATGCAGTCAGTTAAGGCTTTGGAAACTTTCGTGTCAGGATGCCTTGTTCTTCTTTGTTGGCGCGTCAGCTGCTCAACGCACCGCCGTCGCGCCGGCAGTTCAGCGGGCTGGCAGCGCAGCGGCAATTAAGCTGTGGCCTTTTGAGAGAGGAAGTCTCCAGCCCAGGTACAATGCCATGTGTGGTGGCTCTGATTCTGTCAAGACATTTACAAGCAAAGATGACATGGTGAAGGCACGGCTGGAGTCTGCATTCTGTCCTCCTTGCAATTTTAAGTGCCCAGCCACCCCGCCAAATTGGATCCTGGACCCAAAAGCGTTGGCATTTCACATAGGGGGAGTGATTACGTCATTACATGGTGTTGCGCCATGAGCAGCAGCTGCAACAGCTTTCAGCAATTGTGCTGAACTTGCATGCTGTCAAATAGACTGATCCCGAAATTGGCAGCCTCAATCCGTATAAACCCCTTGACAACCTCAGTTTCCATGTCTTTTTCACTGGTCTTTCCATTTGGTTCTCGATTATTCCTATATGCCCCTATAGATCCCGACGCGGCACAGTGTAATGTAGTCTCCATTTCATTTTTCATGTGATTTTATGTCTGATTCTGCATTAGTGGGGTATCATCCCCTGTCTAATCCTAATATATGCCCTGTAATGTACTGTAACATAGCACATTCCATTTTCTTGTCCGTTGTTCCCTATACAACCCAACCCTTTACTCTAAACCCCAAGCCCTACATAAATACTAGTTTCCGTTTTAGTTCCAGAATTCCCCGTGTAACCCCTGAAGCGTAGAGGCCGGTTGGGTCTTCAGCTGGGACGACAGCAGCCTCTGGGAAGCCAGCGCGACCTACAGCAGCGCCTATCGCGGATCCTCTTCGTCGGGTGATGGGATGGTGTCTCTTCAACTGCAGGGCCATGGGACTGTCGTGCCCAGCTTGGACATTCTGACCTGTTTACCTGTAGGTGATGCAAGGTCTTCTGCTTTTATTTCCAACTTGAAAAGTTGTTCAATTGCAGGCTTCAGGTGCGTATCAGGTGGAATTCCCTCAATCCCTGAGGCCATGGCAACTCAAAACCCCGGCTATATCCCACATGTTAAATGCTTTTCCAGGCATCGTATTTGAGCCCAGGGACGGTTGCTCTAGATTCGGCAAGTGGTTAACCATGAAGATGGTGCATGCGGAGAGAAGAGTGCGTTGTGGTCAATCTGAGGTGCTGACATATGGAAGCGATTCCTCCGGGACCGTGAAGGTGCTCGTGAATGGGGTGGAGAAGGGCACGGCCGCAGCCAACACGGTGTCGCAGATTGTCGAGCAGACTTTCAACACAGGCAACAGGTACAAGAAGATATGCTCGCTTTCCTAGTTTGTGCAACTGCAGCCTGCCTCAGGCGATATCCTGCAGGTGCAAGAGACGGACTCAATCATCCTCATTCAATCAATAGCATCTTGCCATGAGGGACTACGGTCTGGTTTTGGATTTGGCCTGTTGCTTTTTCTGCTGTTCGTAGTCTAAAAGTACGCCGTGGGTTGTTGCACGTTGTCTGAGCTGGAAAGCGCAGTGTGGAAGTTTAAGTGCGTTGCAAAAAAATAAGAGATCATGTTCCCACTGAGGAGTTCACATGTGACATTACCTCGGCGACTGTACCAGTGTGGTCCTACCACGAGACGGTGCCGTCCGGCAGCCTGCCATACCAGATGGGCTACCAGGCCGACCTGAACCTCAATGCGGCATCTTATACGGTGATGATGTGGCTGAAGCAGGGTGCCAGTGAACCTGATGATGCCATCATCATTGGACAGCACATCGGGACTTCCACTACAACCACTATGACCTCGGTAACGGTGACAGAGACAACCGTGACCGTTTCAACCACATCAACTACGCAGAGCACGACGAAACCTGACTCCACAAGCCTAAGCATAGCATGGTGTGGTTTTTGTGATTGAGAAGGGAGATGTGCTGCATTTGTTCTTATTGTACAAAGATTCAATCAGAGTTTATGGCAGAGAAGCCAAGAAGATCTCTCCAGGACGGACTTGTGTCAGTGGTTGGTGTACGCAGACCTGTACTCCAGCGGCTTTGCTGGTGGCGTGACCGATTCTTTCGACCTTCACTCTGCCAAGGAGAAGTGCATCTTGGCCTGGATGGGGCAGTCGCTAAGAGAAGAGTTTTTTTGGGGTCGGCCAGCTTGGGACGATGTCCTCAAAGGGCTTCAAAGTTTCGTGAAGCGACCGGATGTGTCCCCCGCTCTTTACTTTTAGCTGACTGAGGTGTACTGGAGTGTACTGGGGTAACCTGAGTGGTTCGGATGGTTTCTTGCTCTGAGGCAAGGAGCTCGGCGAGTCCACCTGCAAGGCGGTGACCTGCGCCAGCGATGACACCTGCACTGTCCGATCTGCCGTGAAGCTTGCTGCGAGCGCCTACGGCGAGACGTCCTATGTGCCGAGCTCCATTTGTTACCTTGGTGGATACAGGAACGTAGTGGGACTGACCAGGTCTGGTGTGAAGTGCACAGATGCTGCAACCGGAAGTGGCTTCATCATGTACTCCGCCCAGGACGTGCGATCGCGCTTCAGCGAGACAAGTCTTCCAACTGACATGGCCGATCACCTGATTTGCGTGAAGTACGCGACTGGTACGGGCTGGATGTATGACGACGATGAAGGAAACTATGTTGCCTTCATTGTGCAAGATACAGATGTGCTGGTTGCTTCTGTAGACTTTGACGCTGACACTGTCACAAGCCTGGAAGGCACTGACGATTATTACGGCTACATTACGAAGGGTTACAACAGCGGAGACCTGTCTTTCGCTGCAGGGAAGTACGGTGCAAGTACAACAAGCGATGCTGGAGAGGTGTATGTCTCCGGAACTTATTTTGTGGCACCATCTGTTGACACAGTTGCATACCCGGATGTGGTTGCGACAGCGGCAGATTCACCTAGCCAGTTTACTAGCACGACTGGTCAAATTGACTACTACCAGCATGCTACCAGCAGCGTCAGCGAAGTGCATATTAGACTCAAGAATTATTACAGTGGCTCCGACACAGACAACTGGAAAGTATTTGATGGGTCGTATATCAGTTCGGTAAAGGTGCAGGAACCCGATTTGCTTTGGGAAGGGGAGGGCCTGACATCACGGATTCACTCAGCAGCTTGGCATCTCATGCCCAATTTCAGACCATGGCTTGGCAGGGATTGCAGGTTGCCTGTGCTACCCTCTGTTGTGCCTGTTTTGCAGCCTGGATTCAGGGCTAGGATTGCAAAAAAGGGTCTGCGACCATAATTGAAGTTGCTTTCTTGGGGTTGAAGATAGGGGTGTCGATGCGCTGCGCAAGTCCTCGCAGATGTGTGTAGGGTCTGGCCTGGAGTTTGATATCAAGTTGTTCCAAAGGTTACCCTCTACACCACGACCGATGGCAACGACTACACGGCCTACTTTCAGACTTCGGACTTGTCTTCAGGCTCCTGGTCGTCAGGCTACTGCACTGCTTCTTTGGGTTTCTGTCATGATTTGCATCCAAACAGAGAATATTTCCCGTATACAGGCGAGATCCAGAATGCAAGTGCCGCATGGGTTCAGCAGAGCTCCTACTGGAAATGGACGATCCCCATCAAGGCAGGTAGGGGGTTTCGATGCAAAGCTTGGTTTGCGCTTGGTGTATCATCAGGAAAGAGAGCGGGCTTTTTTTCCTTCATTTATCCGCTGTTGCATAAACGAGGGCGTGCGGTATGGATACTGGTAGGCAGGGTACGCCGGGATTAGAGGGCGGAAGAGCATGGACGCAGGTGGAGACAATGAAGCTTGAAATTAAACTTCGAAGCTCTGGCCTGGGCTTCAGCGACACACCAGACAGCAACAATCATGCCACCAACTCGATACAGCTCAGTGGCTTCGAAGTCAACCTTCGCAGCACTGTGACAACCACGGCCACTTTGACGACAACAACCCTCACAACCAAGACTGCAACAGGGACTTCAATTACAGCCACCACATCCACCATCACGATCACGACAACCACTGTTACCTCCTTTCCATCTGTGGGCTTTGACAGCCTTGCAGACCTGAAGTGCGAGGGCGTAGCTGGGTCTGCCTCGGGACTGACGGATGCGACGGAAGACCAGTGCAAGTTGGCATGTTGGACGTCGTCGACATGCATTGCCTTCAATTTGGGCGCGGCCGGTGGTTCGGCCGACAACTGCAAGCTGCTGACTTCCTTCACAAGCCTCACAGCTGAGACTGGCACTACCTGCTATGTGCGCATGGCAACCTCGATGTGCCCCCACAATTTCCAGTACGCCTACTACTTTGACAGCACGTACTGCTGCGCAACCGACAAAGAGAAAGATGACGGTTCTGGCAAAGGGTGTGATGGAAGCGCGATGCATGCTGACAGCACGATTTCTATGTGCTGTGCCACTCATTTGCACGTTGGTGGTCTCATCCATGGCCCCTGGCATAGCATGTCCGCCTCAGGAAGCTGATAACTTCATCGTCTGTCCAAGTCCCCCCTGTTCCACGGCTGCATCTTCAGACTGTCCGCGGTCATCAATCTTGCTTTTCTTGCTGGTGCGTGCGGTGCGTAGATTTGAAGTAAATCTTCTGGCAGCAAGCAAGGTGCAGATTTCCAGACGCACCTTGTCAATTGAGATGTCAAGTTATTCCTGGCCTCAGCCAGTCTCTAATGATTGGTCTGCAAGACCTACATTTAGCCTGGCGATTTTTCTGAAGCCAATCTGGCAGGATTCTTTTTTCTCATGTTAATTTCAATTGTGGTGGGGTCGTGTCCTTGCAACGCATGCTGCTCTGTAACCCCATGCCGCCCATGCCACAAGCAAAGCCTTTGCATGGCATTGCTAGCCGCGGTGTAGCGGCACACATACTGACACTTGAGGTACACTTCTGCCTCAATGCATGGTGTAGCAACCTTTCATTACGAAGCAACGACGACAACAATCACTAGCTCAACGACTGCGACAGCCACGGAAACTGCATCTTCCACCACCACCACTTCTTCCACCACAAGCTCTACTACAAGTACGGCAGCCTCAAATATCTCAAATGAAACCGCTTCTGAATCAACAACGACAATGACAGCCAGCACGACGTCACAGACAGCCACGTCGACAACGGCAACGGTTTGGGCAACAACCCGTTGCTCGTCACGGCTGTAGTATGACATGCTCGTACTTAAACGGATGGACCTGATTTTTTTTGTGTTGAGCGGGGTCTGTGGAAAGTGGGTTTTTAGAACCTGGGCTTCAAGAAAGTTCACTCGCTGCACATGACTCCCTAACTCTGCTCGCCTCCAGGCTACCTGCACTGGAGCTCCCTTTACTCGATTCTTTTCACGGATTCATATGAAGCAAGTGATGAGTTCTGGTGGTCCGTGGAGTTCGTGAGCAGCGGCACCGTCAGGCTCAAGAACATCAAGGAAGGTACATACCTGGCCTCTGATGGGTCCACGCTGTCTTTAGAGACCACTGCAAGCGATGCTGGGTTGTGGAAGTATGCTACATCCGCGGATTCTGTGACATTGCAGCATTCAAGCTCTTCCAAATTCCTATGCACCGCGGATGTCCCCGACTTATCGGCCAGCTGTGACACGAACAGTTGGACTGTTACTTTCCTGGACAACAGCGTGGCTGCGTCAGTCTTCACCTCTGTCACCGTGACGACAACATCTGTCACGATAACATCCAGGACATTGTTGTCCCCTAAGATAAGAGTGCCTGGCCTCATCTTCCGGATGCTAGTTAGTTGCTAGCCTTGTTTACATTTGCTGATGGTAGCTAAATGCAGGACGACAACTGAGACCGTGGTCACAGCTACAGTAACCAGCTCCACTTACACCACGTCAATGACGGAGACGAGCTCCTCGATGACAGCCACCCTGACGACCTCAACAATCTCCACTCAGACTGTCACAAGCACAAGTGCCACCTCAACCTCTGTAGTCACCACAACAACTACCTACACCACGGCAACGTTAACAACAACTTCGACACTGACCGCTCAGTTCGATAGAACCCGGTTCGACGTGAACTTGAAAGATGGAAGGTATTACATCAGTCTCTTGGCACCAGCCGCTGACGAACAGATGGAGGGAAGTAGATAACAAGCGTCTTGCAATCTTCTGCGAAGCCCCTTCGAGCTAATGCTGGCTTCGCATTGTAAACCCGCCCTTTCCCCTTGATCTATCTGCCATTTCGGGGGGTGCCCCGGAATAACAATAATGCCTAACATGTGGCTTGGACAATCTACATATATCATTCAAATTCGAATTAAGATCATTGTCCCTAAGAACCGAAAATGTTCCAGAAATTTGCTAACTGTCAAATTGTCGGTCTTGTTAGAATTGTGTTTTGCAGGGGGCTTTCATAAATGTTCGAGTCCCTAATGTGAACTCGGCATTAATCGACCTTTGAGCGCTGCCTCAGCCAATCAGGTCACTACTTGCAGGAGTGTCACTCGAGTACGTCGCTTAGCAAAGAGGTTTGGCACCTAAGTTGCAACATTGCGGGAGCTCGTTTTCTAAATCTGGTCTGCCTTGCCTTCTCAAGCTGCCCAAGCTTTCCAAGCTGGCGGATACTATTTACCTCGACCTGGACAGCAAATTCAAATCTGGTCATAGTCCCGCACCGTTGAAGGGGAGAATGCTACATCCTAGTGTGCTGGAATTTCTGGCATTTCCCTTCACTGGCCCCGGATGATGATCTCGATTTTTGAGATGTTGATGTCAATATGCTTACGTCCAAGCAAGATTCACCACAAGCAGGGCACCCAGAGCGGTTCTTTGGAAGCCCTGCCTAGGCAGCATGTGGCGTTCGTGTATGACAAAGATGCCAAGACACAGTCCATCTACATCGATGGGACTTTAGACAAGACGTGCTCAGCTCCATGGCTGGAGACCAGGGGAAAACTTCTTGAATCTTTGTGAAACTGAAAGAGTAAGGGCATCGAGTCCTTGAACACGAATGAGGACAATCAGCGGTGGCCTGAGAAGCCTATGTGGTGCACAGTCCTTATCGGTGGTTCTGCGCTTCACAGGTTCTATTTGGGAGGAGCTCTGCAAAGAGGAGAAACAACAACCTGGCAGGGTTCAATTGCCGACGTCAATATCTTCCTTCAGGTGAGTGCTTTCTGTCTGCCTCTTCCTCTTGCGGCCTGTCTTTGATGCTGCTCCACAGGTCTTGACATCTGAGCAACTAGCTTCGGCACGCCTGACAGCCTGCCACCCATTGCCAGGCCGACCAAGGGAGTTGGGAAACTTGTGCTGGTTTTGTCAACCAGCTTGCTTTGCAGCACAGGCACCGACTGTCGGACTCAGTTAGACACGTGGCACACCAAGGGTAGCCTGGTAGCAAGTAGCTCTTTTACGGCTTGGGCATCTGCTTCCATCCTAGCGAACAGAAGCTTCAGGTACATGCCTTGTCGACGCAGATACGAGCGGTCTTTCACCAAAATCATGTAGTCGAGAGCTTAGCAGGTGTGTCGTGCTGACTAGCACAGTGTTTTTCAGTTCGTGCTTCTGCGAAGGTACCTTCTGTGCGACCTACGGAATGCTGTGCCTAAAGGCAGCTACGTCTAGCGGCTCGTGCACTTTATCGGTGGCGACGACTGCCCCTTGGACCGCAAGAAGCTCTGCCAAATTCGCTGCTGCGTAGCAGCTGGTGCTGAGTGCGCCCGAAGAAGTCCATGAGGATCAGCTAGAAAGTTTTGCATACAGAAGCTGAGCGTGTGTAGAGGCTTACACGTCACTGACCAGGCGCCCTGCTGAAATGTCTTGCTTGAAAGGGCGTCCCAGGATCAGGGTTCCTCTCTGGCAGGTATGGCTGTGATGAGACATCAGACAGCCAGGTGTGCTCAGGCTGCACGCTGAACCACAGGTCCAAAGGAAGGTGTCAATAGTATAGAGAGCCTTCGCCAGCTAAGAGCTGATGATTGTCGACTTTCAGATGGTTCATGGACAAAATTGGCCGAGTCAGCATGAGGTGTGAATGCTATCCGGCAAGCTGGGCTCCGCAGCTTGTCAATCCCGCGAGCGACTCTTCACAGAGGCCTTGACTTGCTGTGTCTCGCAGGGCTGTCAATCCACAAGGGCGCTGGGCACTGGGCATGCGTCCCTGCAAGGACATACTCAAGCAGCTCCGCAGATACAGCCAAGATAGGAGCCCACATCTTTGGTTCTTGCGAATGGCCACGGTTTTTGTAGCAGCCTCGCTCCAGTGATGCAAGGTCCAGGGCCTCTTAAGGGGAGACAGGGGGGACTATGTAATGGGAACCGAATATGAGGGCCATAGACGGGTGGTGTGGGGATATAGTGTAGATTTATGTATATATAATATCACATGTATAAGGTACATTGGGACCTGTAGTTGTCCAAGACAAGGGTCTCATCGTGTAGGTGTTGAGTGGCAAGTCTTCTCCTAGAGGAGCCCTGGATGACACTGCCAGCGACCAGATGTGGAGGGCTGCCAGCGACAGCGACGAGTATATGACCATTGATGTGGGCTCCAGCAATTTCTACGCCCCGTGCTGAGCTTCAAAGCAAAAGCTCGGCGTGACAGCTCCGTCCAGACGAGAAGTGCTGCTTGTTGTTACACTTTGATTCGCCTCTGAAGCGATGTGGTCGGGGTTCATATGATGGCTTTGTTTCTTGTCTGAGGTCTGTGGCGTAGTCACGCAGGGCAGCGGCAGCCAGAACTATTGGGTGGAGACTTTCGAGGCAGGGCTAGGCCGCTAAGCCTCAAGGACTTGCCTCCTCATGAATACTTCCGTCCAGGTGGACTTCAGTGGCTGCCACAGTTGACGGGTGTTCTAGCTTCTCACACCTTGCTAGGAAGCACAGCGCCTGAGGTGATGATAATACCAACTATGCTGCCATCTCCGGCACTTACACCACAGCGGGTAACCAGACAACCCAAAAGTTGTCAAGGTTCCCATTGCCGATGCGTGCCCGTGGCCTGGCGCGGCACATGCCAACATGTGTCACCTAGGAAGGGTGAACCCCAAAAGGAACAAACTCTGACATGGCTTTGACTTGAGGTTATGTTCGAATTTGGCCGGCCACCGTGAACGGGGCCCTGGCCATGCGGGCCGGGCTAATCACTTGCGGGCCACTCCGAGCTGGAACCTCCAGCAACTATGCATCATCCGCAGGCACCTAGACAAAACATCAGTACATACCGGAGAAGCAGAAGCTCTATCTAAGGAATCAAAATCCATTATTCTTTTTCCCTATCTTATCTTCCATCTAGCCCACGGTTTCCTTTGTGTCAGGTCGGTGCGCTACAGAGCTTAGAGCATTCTAGCTGCAAGCGGTAGCAACATGCAGCAAAAGTGCAGGTGTCACGTGTCACTCTGACATCGACAGCACCAAGTGCAGCTGCTCCGAAGCAAGTGAGCGTTCAAGAAACATACACGCAAGACTCACGGGCCAGAATTTCAGATTGTGGCAGCCCGCCAGGTTCACAAATCACCGATGGCAACAAATGCTCCGACAGTTCCTCTTTCTCGGGAGCAATGGTGACAGCGTCAACGGAGCTGTGCACTTCGAAGTATTGGGTGCAACTTGACTTAGGACGGAGGGGAAGGGAAAAGCTCAAAGACATTGCCTCTCTCTATTGCTCTTTGCTCTGAGAATTCCGCTGGACATTGTCCGAGATGTAGACAGACGCTAAACAACTGGGCGAGCCATACTAGCAGCATGCGGGTTCAACGTGCCGCTTAGTCGTTTCGCTGTGAGCCTTTGTGCCCGCGAAGCTGGCTAAGGGTAATCCTGATCTCGCTTCCCATGGGTCGTCATTTTTCGTCCAGCATTGGAATTAGGTTGGCAGAAGCGGCAGAAGTGCTACTTGAGCTTGCATCCTGACCGTGGGGTTGTCTCTGGCATCAAATCAGACATTGTCTCGTCTGCACGGCTTGCGACCTGCCTGGATAGTTTGATTGCTTGTCAGCGTCTTGTCTTTCCAAGATGCCATGCGTTTGAGCGAATTTTGAGAGTCCCACTCTGGTCCTTCATGGAAAATCTATGCCGTGCAGCCGCAGGAGCCACTTTGTCGAACGATGCACCAACAAAGCTGGTGAACAAGGCGCTGCGGGTTGCATTGCAGCCGCAACTGCAGACCAGCTTTGTGTGATGCCTTTTGCCGTAATGACTTGTTTGCGTGCATTGCAGACTGCAAGAACAGGTGGTAGTGTATGGGTGCGAGAATTTGATGTATTGCGGCCGGGGCCTAGAAGTTTCAACCGATGGCACGACGTGGTCCACAGTCTTTGACGCAGACACGGCTTACGAAAGCCGGCAGCATTTACTGTTTCACCTTGGTCGAAGCTAGCAGTTGTGGTCGATGACCTTCAATCTTGCTCCTTTCAGGATGATGATGAAGCTCCGAATGTGACCTACAGTGATGTGGAGATGGGCTCGGGAAGTACATTCCTCTTTGATCTGCGTGCGATTCGCTATGTCAAGGTCTGGTCCAGCATCAGCAACAGCTCAGCTGAAGTCCACTTTGCAGAGATCGAAGTCTTCGAGCAGGCAGCGGAGCTCAACTACCAATTTGACACAGAGATGGCAAGTACGGCCGTAACGATGGGTTCGCTGAGTGATTTGGGCATGTTGTCTGACTACACTTTCATGGCATATTGGAATGCTGACAGCCTCACGACCGACTCTTTGTATCCGATTTTCGGGCAGACGCAGACCAGTGGCTTGAATTTCTATATCAAGCAGACAGCCACCAACACAGTTCAACTTGAGCACAAAGTGGATGGCTCTAACGGCTGCAGCACCGCGGCGACTGCAGTGGAAAGTACTTGGAATCATGTGGCATTGTCCTTCACAGCAAGTACAAAGGCATCAGCCTTCTATTTGAATGGTGAAGCAGTTTCGCCAACCTGTTCAGCAGAGATCAGCGCATCCGATGGGACTGTCGAGTACGGAGGAGGTCGTGAACAGGGAACCTGGAAAGGGAGCCTCGAGCAGGCAAGAGTGTATTCAAGAACCATCCTTTCGGAAGACCTGACGAATTTCAGCAATTGGTGCGCCACCCACGCCTGCGGCCCGGGATACCGCCGCAACTCCCGTCGCAGAACAACCTGCAGCAAAACGAGCTGCACAGATGCAGAGTGCTGTGAGGAGTGGCCTACCTGCGCGGACAGTGATTGTACACAGGATTCGAAGTACACTTCCAGAAGGCGCAACTACTGCTTCCGGTCCTGCACAGAGACTTTGTGCTGTACCTGGCGTGAAATGAACTCCTTCGTCTTGAGTGGCACCTCAACGCCGACAGTCACCACTCATGGCACTCAAACTTGGGTGGACGAAGGGTCGACTTGCCTAGATCAGTTCAACGAGACACTCCCAGTTTCAACGAGTGGAACGGTAGACCGCACGGCAGCTGGTACGTACACCGTCACCTACTCCTGCACCGAGAAGACGAACACAAGCAAGGTGCTGGTGACTCGGCCAGTTTTGTTTCGCACATGATCGCACAAGTCTCTCAAGGCTTTGTGTTTCACACCTTTCCCCCCCACCCGGCGCACCCAGGGCACCTTGACAAGAACCGTCACGGTGGTGGAGAGCATGTACATCAATCCAGCACTGCAACCTTGGCCTGTTGTTTCTGGAAGGCTAACACGTTTGCAGCTTGCCATTGGCTTCTTCCTGACGAGCTGTCCTGCCTTTCCTGTTCAGGTATTGGATTGTGCAGCGTGAGGCAGGATCCTGGTCGGACACAGAATCCAAGTGCTATGACACAGCGGCCCCATGGTTGCGTCGTCACTGCTTTGGGTTGAGTTGTGTTATAGTGGCTGTGTAAAATGCTTTGGTTGCTGCCCCATAGCTTGCACTCTTGAACTTCAGTGCCAAATGCAGGACACTTTCAATGCCGACGTCGCGGATATGCACCAGTCTTTTACATGGGATGCTAGCACGCGACTTTATTTGGGCACGCTGGTCGACGGCACCACGCAGGGCAAAACGGAGGCCTCGCCTTGCTGTGAAAATGAGTCAGCTGCTGCTTGTCATTGCACATACGCGCCCTGAAGGAAAACTATACTGTCGATTACACTTGCTCCCTGACCGGCGAACAGATCTTGAAGACCTTGATGGTGCGAGATGCGATACGTGACCCGGCTGGGTGTGCAACTGCGGTGGTGGTTCTGGCATAACCATGGAAGGAGCCTCCAGCCTGCCACAAGTCATAGCAAGGCCTGTACGGTCCCGATCCTCACGTGCTTCGCGCGGGGCGACTCCGCTGGAACGAGGGCCAGTGCCGCTTGGATTCCGTGATTTATACATTGTATATGAAGGGCACGCTGACAGCGAGGAGCCCTGAGAAGCTTCTGAAAGCTTGAGAAATAGCATGTGCCATCATGCTCCGCATCTGCTTGGCATTTTCTTTGCGCAGAGAGGGCTGGTGAAAAGTAGGATTGTTCATCAGGATCCGGGCTTTTATGAGAGCCGAGGTGAGATCTGCGACACAAATGACAGCAATCCTGGAGAGTCTTCCTGCAGTTACTCAGATGACAACTCCAGCACCACGGACAAGTGTGGGCTGACGGCAACTGGGTGGAAGGCCAGCTCAGATGCAGGGGCGGGCACCTACTTACAGCTGGACCTGGGTTCAGATGAGAAGGTGGCAGGACTGCGGGCTTTATGCACCCTGCCTCACATAGGGATTCTGTGTCATGGTGCCTTTCAGGAGTCAAAACAAAGGGACACTCTGAGGAGGAAGCGTGGATTAAAACTTACACGGTCGCGTACTCAACGGATGGGGCGAGTTGGACGGATGTGTCCGGTACACTCACCGGCAACACTGACCAGAATACGGAAGTTGAAGCCATGCTGCCTTCCGTAGTCACAGCACGCTGGTGGCTTCTGGGCGGCAAGGAAGGGGAGCTTGTTTGAGTGCCATGTGCGGTCGCATGCGCTTTTTCAGGGACAAGTGCAGTAGGTACACCCGATGTCCTCATGATCATTGTCAGACATGACATGCTCTAAGGCGCATCATCGCGCAAACGTTCAACAATCTCGTTGCTGGGCGAGCCGCCATGATGGTCTGCAGCTCTGAAAGTTGCCTGATGGCAGACAGGTTATGGGCGCGTAGCCTTCAAGCTTCCGACAACCTGTGGTGGTGCCTGCATCCAGGTACCAGCACTGACGCAAATTGCCCATGTGGATATGTCACAGCGCCCGAAGCAGAAGCTTGCAGAACCGATGTGACGGTCGACTGCATCGATACAACAGGCACAGGGCTTTGTTCAAGGGATCAATAGGCTTGTTATATATTGCGGGCTGCTAGCTGAAAGCAGACCTTTGTTGCATGCTACGGTACGCTGTTTGCCTGGGCACATACCCTGATTCTGTAGTAGTTCGAAGACTTAGAAGTTGCAGCATTTCATCTGCGAATTCCGAAGCGCTTCAGTTTTAGCCGTTACAATACAGGCTGCCATCTTTCCACTGCAGTTGGCCAGGGACCGCACAAACCCCGACTTTGGCCCCGTCGACCATCAACGCGCTTGAAGCTTGGCCTCCAAAAGTGTGCATGAATGACAGTCTCGCAGGATCGAAAATGGCAGCAAACCACCCCTGCAACGCCAGAAAAGGTATCTCACTATTTGTGATGCGCCAAGGATGCATCCTCAACGACGGTAACATACTCCTGCTCCGATGCTCCTGATTACACGCGGACAGTGACGATTCGGGACTCAATCTCATTAATTGGCAGCTCCTCCATATTGGTCCCGGGGGGCATCTCAGGCAGGGCAGGGGTGAGAGCTGCCTTTGAGCTCGTACTTTCCTTGAATTGCAAGGAGTTTTGTGCGATACTTGCGGTGTTGCTTGCTGATTGTCAGTACAGGGGCCAGCGGCATCTGCTAGCAGCACCGACACCACCGACACCACCTACCACCAGCAATATCAACAAAGCAATCATGGTTTGCCTGCCGACTGTTCTGTTCATGTTGGTGGCTGTGCTGCAGGCATGCGAAGGATTGCTTCAGTTGATGGTTCATGCGATTCATGCGTGCATGCATTCTGTACATCTCTCTCTCGTCACTTCAGTCTGTTCCTTCGAGCTCTTCATTTTTTTGTTTTGCCAATTTCTACTGTTCCTGTTTTTCTTAGTGTTTCTTCACACTGCATGCATATTCGGACGTTGCTTCATTAACTCGATTTTTGTTCTGCTCTTCCAAGCATGCAGTCTTGTTGTACTGACCGTGAACGGTTGCTCGAAGAGAGAATCTCTCTTTGGTCTAATGGCTCGTTTGCTTTTGTGCCTTTCCTTTGCTCATGCCTTTCATTTGTTCATTATTTCACTGCCCGTGCGGCCTGCATCCATGCGAACGGTGCTGCAGTCTTTCACACATCCATCAGCACGTATCCATTTCTTTCGGTCCTTGATTCGCATGCGCACAAAGTCGTGCAAATGGTGCGCGCTTGAGGCAATTGGAACGTCACAGGTGACACTTTCCACGAGAATGGCAGCACTTGCATCACGCATTTGGGCGAAGAGAAGACGCCAAGTGTGGATTTGGATTACCTCCCTTTCACTACGGAGTGGCCGAGCTGCAAATTAAACTGCTCATAAGTCTCAGAAAAAATGTTGAAAAGACTTTGCTGGTCTTCAGGCGGACATACGTCATCAACTACGAGTGCCGCAGACGAGCTGCGCCTATACTGCAGCGCATCGTGGAAGTGCGATTTCCCCACAGGCTGTCCAGTTCTGCACACCGACATGAAGTGGCGTGAGAAATTTCCTTGCGTTGGCAGGTTTGACAACGAGGCTAAGAAGGTGTGGACCCTGGGACGCTGGGCCTAGATTTAGATCACGCAAGCAATCCCTACAACGAGCCGGTGAGTATTATCTAAGATGCAAGCAGTGCCAAAATCCTGAAGCAAGTACATCAAGAAGCTATGCGACCACTGGATCCAAGGAGGTCAGCTGGGTGCTTCTGGTACCCACTATGAAGACACATGGACTTGCATGGACTTGACTGCCTCATCAAAGAGTTGCTTCGCTGCAAGCTGTCAGAACACACATGTCGTGTGTATGTGTTTGGTGTTTCTTTTTTGTTGCACCTCAGCTGCCAGGTTCTTCGAGGGTAGCAGTCAGCTCAGATTTCTTTGATCGCTACATCGAGAATTACGTGTCCTATCCGATAATTTCTTGTGCCAGTGATGTGCCGACATTGGTTCGCTCAGGAGAGGGCTGGACGTTGTGCTGTAGACGTTATAGCCTGCAGCAAGCTAGCAGGATCAGTTTGGGATTGCTATGGGGCTTGCATCCCATGTGTCGGCACCATTCAGCCAAAACCGTTACTAAATCCCAAAATACAGGCCAGCTTTCAGCTTCTTTTCCATTGTCCCTATATCATCGCTATATCCCGAATGTAATCCCCATATATTCCCTCTGGAAGCTTTGACAGCTTCCTTGGGTATGCATGGACAGGAGAAGTGCGCCATCCTATCTACCTGGTCAGTGACCGGCAGGACTCCATCAGTTGTGTAGAGTGAGGGAGTGCGGGTCCCTTGGCACCAGCATGCTGGCCGCATGCATGCCGTCACAAGATCGTCAAAGGTGCAGCTCAGTGACGCGCGTCAATTGTCATGCTACAAGTAAGCATGGTGCAGAAATGTCAGGAGTTTCGGCTTGGTATCAGCCAGAGCTCTTCAGGTACCTACAGCTTGGGCCAAACTGACTTTGATGCCCGCTTTGCGGCCAGTCGCTTTCAGATTATTCGGCGTAGCTGCGCATCCTGTGGAACTGGGTTCCAGGACATCTACTACCGCCGACTCACTGCAATGCCAAGCGCATTCTCTGCGTATAAGATGATGGCCTGCGAATGGACTTCCACAAACAACGTGGGAGGTACAGATTTCAAGCTCTACAGCACTTTAGCCGATGCTATTGCAGACACCAACGCATGGTCTGAGTATGGCTTCGGTGGTACGGACGTCGGGTTCCCTGGGACTTCTGGACCTTCTTCGGCGTCAAGTGGCGAATTCAGCAGCATTCCGGTGTCTGAGTGTTCTTCATCTTCAACCGCGACAGGAGTAGATAGCAACTTCTACATATATGTGCCTTGGCGTTCCAACAGTGTGGGGATGCACTTTTTCAGGTTTTTTGTTTTTCCCGCTTCTGTGGCTTGTTGCTTCCCGTTTTATCTGCAGTTTCTTGCTTATTGCTTCTAGCTTCATGTTGTCTGAGTCCTGCTGTAGTCTTGGCTTTTTCAGGCATGGTTCTGCCGCTTTCCAGCTTGTGGTTTCCAATGTTTCGTTTTTTGCTTACACTTTGCTTTCAGGTTTTTGCTTCCTGCTTGTTGCTGTAGTTTTTGATTTTGCTTTCTTGCTCGTGGCCTTCTGCTTGTTGCCTTCTAGTTTTTGTTTCCTGCGTATGGCTTTTGTGCTTGTTGCTTTCTGCCTTTTGTTTCCTGCTTGTGGTTTCCTGCTTGTTGGTTTCTGAAAGTTGCTCTCTGTTTCTTGCTTTCCCCATTGCTTACATTCAAAATGATATGCACCTAAAATGCCCAAGTACAGGCTACAGATGGGTTTGTTTGTCGCACCAGGTTTCGGCAAGCCATGAGCAAAACAATCCTCAAACGATACCTGAGCGATCACCCAGATGGGCTTCCATGTCCGTAGTGGGGTCGTCGAGTTAAAGGCTCCAAGTAAAATCCGAAGTCATTTTGACGTCTGATCATCAGGTTTGCAGCGGCCAAGGTGTGGCTTCGCTTCTTACGCCGTGTGATGCTACCGCAAAAGGGTATCGTCACATCACTTTTTTTGCAATGTTTGCCTGCAAGCATGTTTTTCAAGAGGTACATCCGAGCAGCATCTCATCCTATCATCATGTTTGCAGATGGGGGACTGCCCCCCCCCCCCGCTTCTTCCAGGCTGTGAAAGCTAGCCTCAAGGAGCATCGTCCAATGGCCTTGTTTGCGAAGACCCTGAACTCTGAGCTTTAAACCGTCTTCTCATCACTATGTTTGCAAGAGTAGCTTGCAAGAGCATTTTCCAAGAGGCTCGTTCGAGCACCGTGACATCTGATCACTCTGTTTGCAAATGGGCGGCGCTGCGCCTACGCGCTGTCATTTCCAGCAGCCCCCCAAGTTTCGGTACCTGGACGCTTGTGGACGCGTGTGGACGCTGGTCCAGTAGTTGGGTGTGTCTCTCACGGCAGTTGATCAATATGTCCAGAAGGCATTTCAGCTGGAAATGGTGCTCTTGCTCGGAGCAACGTCGCATATTTGCTGGAAGCTAGACTCTTGTGGAACATCTTGCCATGGTGAGGGCTTCGTCGCTCTGCACAGGGCTCAAAATTTCACTCTCAGGTGAATTGTCCTGGCACGTGGACTTGAATTCGTGCTCTTGCAGGAGGCATCCACGTATGCACGCTTTGGCTTGAAATCGTGCTCTCGCGTGGTGCGTCCTCGCATTTAGACTGGGACCTGCACTCTCGCATGGAGCGTCATCACATTCTGGGATGTTAAAAACCAAACGAGTCTCCAGCAACAGAAAAGCCCAAGTTTCAATTATCTGAATCTGCGTCACCTAACTGTTCCAGTGCAAGTCTGTTGTTTGCAGTTCTTCAGACATTGCGCGCAAAGCGCTTCAGGACTATGCCTCTTCAGTGGTCCCTGGCACGTGCACAAGGGACGTGGGCACTCTGGGTAGCGGCGCGCAATGTCAGGACGATGATGGTTTTGAGAGCCGACTAGGGTTCCTAATGTTCACCAAGGAGTCCCGTGCCACCAGGTGGCAGTCCACTGCCACATCCTATGCGCATAACTTTGTTTGTGCTCGTTTCACGGGCTTGGAGTGGCAGTACCTCGAAGGGAGCACATGGACCCAATTCGTCCCCTACACGACCGACGTGCTCCTGGCGCGAATCGAGTTTGACAACAACACCATCACATCCTTGAAAGGCTCTGATGAAGAATACTACACGGTGAAGATGGGCTATGTAGATGGTGATTTAGCGTTCACCTTGGAGACCAGCTCAGTTACAATTGTTGGCACATCTTTCGTTGCGAGGTGTGGTGAGGACTTGTGGTGCCAAAATGGTGTGCGACCCGACGGAACTGACGGGGCATCTTACTGCTGCGCTAGCTCTTGTGGGACCTGCGGCGGAACAAGCTGCTCAAACAATGGGGCTTTAGACATTTGCTGCCTGGATACTTTGCTGGAAGCTGGACGGATTTGTCGGGACCATGACGATGTGTCCTGTTTGATCCCGGAGTCGCGGCTTGCTTGAGCCAAGCAGTTGTTTCATGGCCCGCAGTCCTACAGTGTGATATTAATGCATCATAAGCTGATTTTTAACTTGAAGGCAGCATTTCTTTGGTGTGATGTGGGAGATTTGAGAGATGGGAATTTCTTTGTTGGACGCAGGTCTGTCCTGTGTGGTGGCAACCTGCAGCTGAACAACTTCGAGTCTGCAGCCAACATGAAGGCAGCAGGCTGGACCATCGACTCAGACAGCGATTCGAATCTGTTCGAGCCAGATGCCTCCCTGATTGGCTGGTACAGGGGCTTTGCTGCAGGTTCCACTGCTGGTGGCATCAGTACGACACTGCGCGGCTATGGACAGCTCGACCTGACCTACGGCAACGGGAATTCAGGCTCGGAGTCCAACAATGAAGTTCAAGTGCTCCTTGACGGCAGTGTTGTTGACACAGCCGACTCCTCCCAGTCTGAGAAGACCGTGAGCATCGATTTCACCGATAATGCTAGCCTGGAGATCAAGGATGCGGGTGATGCCATCATTCTGGTAAAGGGGCTGGCTTTCAAGTGCTTGCTGCAAGATTTCTGGCCTCGCGTGATAATTCAAAGTGGAGAGATGGATGCACCCAGTTCCTGGACAGTTTGGCCAGCAGAGACTTGCTGCTTGGAGTGGGAGACGACCGGCACATGGAGTGACACCGTGAGCACAAGCGTGACTACTATTTCGACTGCTAATGAGGGCTTATTCCCGGTAACCTACACATGCACAAGGGGTAGTTATCCATCAACGAGGACGGTCATTGTGAAAGTCCGGCATCCCGTTGAGTTGGTTGGTCTGGAGGCCATGATTGTGCGGCAGGCTGCAGGTTCCACTTTTACGGACCCAGGTGCGGCTTGCGTCGATCGAGACTTAGTCCCGCTGGCAGTTTCAACTTCCCCGTCGAGCCTTTCTTTGGACACGATTGGTGAGTTTTCTTTGACGTACTCGTGCACAGACGGCAGCAGCCGCACGTCCAGCAGGGTTCGATACGTCCAGGTTGCACCTGCGATTGAGCTGAAGGGGGATGCAGTCATTGTTATTGAAAAGGACAAGTCCTGGAGTGACCCTGGCGTGCAGTGTGTAGACATTGACAATGGATTGTTGGCCCACACTTCCAGCCCGTCTATTGACACATCATCAGCAGGAACGACCACGGTCACATATACGTGCACGGATAGTAGCAGTGCGACATTGACCGCCACGAGGACGAACCCCGTTTAACAAAGACAAGTAAAAACATACCGTCACGTGCACGCAGTGATTCTGTGTGCGTGAGAGGGGCAGGTAGACAAGTAAGGCCACGGCTGAATGGATGTTCGGATTCTGCAGGACCGTGATTGTCACCAGTGGCTTACCTGGAACAATCGTCCAGGGCCCAAGCACTGGTATCGTACTGTTGCTTGGACGCTCGGAAAGCAGGGCAAGGCCCTGCGCGGCTGATTTTTTGCAGATGTGTCCTTGTATGCAGTTGCAGTAGGAGAGCATGCTGTCGAACCCTTCGAGCTCGCAGCCAAGGAGAAACTTTCGAGGATCCAGGTGTATGCTGCAAGGACAACCACAATCAGGTTCTGCCGTTCTCCAGCATCATGAATGAAGCACATTCCAAATGGAGCGGGCCGCAAACCCTTTTCTACAGCTGCACTAGCTTTGGTGTTACGGAGAATGCAGTCAGAACGCTTACAGTCAACAACGTACCCAAGATTTACCTCACTGGTGATGAGTCCACACTCTCAGTGCTGGACAACCTCTACGTTGAGGATGGGGCAGTTTGCACAGATATCGAGGATGGCCTCATTACAGCCTGGGGAGCCGGCGGCTTAGGCGATCCGCAACAGCTGCCGGTGCTGCGAGCCGGCGCAAATGCCACGGTGACCTCAGGTGCTGTGGCGAACATCTTTGATGGTGACGAAGCAAGCTCAGTGACGCAAGCCTGTGAGTCCTGTGTGGAAGTAGCCGAGTCTGTGTACCTGTGGTTGGACTTGGGCGCAGGCAAGGTGGTACACAAGTATGCTCTTGCTGGAAATGTGTCTGGTGCCAGCCTGCTGGCGGGCCCAGACATTAATGTCGGGCCCAGCTGCAAGACTGATATCACCACTTCTTTGGGTAGTTCTACAATCGTGGAATGCGATGCGCCTTTGGCCGGACGCTTTGTTACACTTGTCGGATCTTCTTCGTCCAGTATGAAGGTTTGTGAGCTCAAGCTCTACGGAACTGTAGGGCCTGCCGCGCCTGCCCGAATCAACATCACAGGCTCACCCTCTGGCTGTACGGGTGTTGATGCTGTCCAGCTTGAATTGGCTGGACACAATGACAGCGCATTAGGTGTGATGTATTCCACTCAGGCGCCTGGGAGCAACAATGAGCTGCGAACCGATTTGGGCACAGGCCCCCACCTGCAGACGGAGGCTGTCACAGGCACCACGCTGGGCACCCCTGGCTCAGAGCGTTGGGTTCTGCGCGATTCTAGCTGGGTCGAACAAGCATCCGCAAGTGGAGGGGAGAGTTTCCCTCCTCTGGAGGGCAGTCAATGGACAATAACAACTTCCGGTGCTACTTGCACAGCGCTATCCTTCCAAATTGAGCCCGCTGACTCATGCAGCTGGCTGTTTGGGCCGTCAAGCACCAGCAATCAGAAGCTCAGCAGAAGCATGAACTTGATCCCTCAATGTCCTTCACGTTGAGCTTTTGCCATTTTACTCTCAGGTACGGTTGTGCAGATGGCAGCGAGTGCAGCTCAGAAGGCTGCTGCTCAAGCTTGGGCGGCGTGGCGCGCTGTCCGCCTGAGCTGCCAAGAATGTGCGAAGCACAGACCTGCGGCAGCAGCTCAGCCGTCAAGGGTTGAGAGGCGTTTTGCTGTTGGTCTTGCTTGCATCCTTCAAATTTGTCCTTGCCTTGTGGCTTGTGTGCTCTGACGTCGTCTGTCTCAGGTGATTATTGCTGCAAAACAGATTGCCTCTTGTCCAGCACAGGACGACTTCTGACCTTTGTTTGGTTTATCTGCAAGAATTGGTAGTCTTGTTTGCTTTGCTCGATTGCCTGGCTGGTTGAAAGGCACATCCTTCGGTGGGAATCGCTTGTGCAAGCAGAGCTCCTTGACTTCCAGCAGTGGAAGCTCGACACTTGCGCGAATGGAGGTGGTGAATTCAGTGATGCCTAATGACCCAGCGATCTACAAGGTGACTTACACATGCTTCTTGGTTGGACTTGGTCCAGTTGCAGACTCGGTTTGCCGCTGCCTAGGGCCCAGTGTTCTACTCAGGCTATGACTCCGCGGGTGCTCACGTCTCCACAACAAGGACGGTGGAGGTGGGATGCGAGGATCCAAATCCAGGTGGAACCTACGGCGGGAATCGTGTGGCCTGCAGCACCACAACAAAAACGCCGCCTGGCAGAAGGGGATGAGTACGTGGTGCCTAGGATTTGGGAGCATCAGATGAATGCAAAGGTAAAGACACACTTACATTGCAAGGACGGAAAATGTCGCCAACGATGAAATCTGCGAGACTCTCTGCTTATCGGCCAACAGCAGTGAATGTGTGGCCTATCAATACTTCAGCAACCAGTCGTGCATGTTCTTGACCTTGTGCACAGGCCGGGGCCCCGTGGCACCTTGGGTTAAGGGCTTATTGCTGAATGCCATCAGTGCTTTCGCACAGGACGCTATTTCATGATCCCCAACGGCACTGACCGCTCCGTGGCGTACTGCCGACGTGTGGACACAGCCCCAAGCATTTACCTCTCCGAAGGAGTAAGCTGGTTCCTCCTGGGTGCTGCAGTAGACGAAAGCATGCTGCCTTCAGTGACTTGCTCCGACTCCGAAGATGCCGGAAACATGGGAAAACCTACCAACAACATGGACCAAGTTGTTGACGTCAACACAGCCGGCGGTTACGAAGCAGCTTGCCCAACACGAGAAGGGCTAGCCGGCGTGTAGCTCTCACTAGGAGCATGTATGCTAAAAGGCTCGCCATCCAAGCTCATGACCTGCAGGTGACGTACACCTGCACGGACAGCGCTGGGCAGGCAACATCAGGGACTCGACTCGTCACCGTGAAGGCAAACTGCTCGGTTCCCACGGTGGAAAACCAGAACTCCACAACTGGATATTGTTTGGAGGGGACAACTTTTGCTCATGGCTCAACATGCACGTTTGCAGCCTAGTTTGCAGCTGTTCAGTTTCCATCCAGACATGCATCAGTGGACAGTACCGGAGCAGTCTGCTGATGCTAAGGGGAGCTTGCAACTACGGCTACGCACCGAGAAATCCAACTCACACTTGCACCACTTTGTCCGACACAGACTACAACTCGACTTTCAGTCCTTCGCTAGCCTCTTGGATTCATAGTTAGCCCAGAAGTCAAACCTTGGGACAAAGTTGGGCTGCTCTAGGTGGTTAGAACTATGTATGACCAGTGTTCATGAACATATAGGAGAATCTGAATTGCACAGGTGGTTGTGCTCGAAGACCACTGGACCTAATCACTTCAACTACAGGCAAAACAAAATGTGAGAAAGCCATAGGACATCTAGAAGGATTGCCGGAAGGCGAACTTGCTGTGGTATGGAGGCCAAATCTATTCTGAAGGATATCCACACCAGGTCCAACCGCCCAACAGGGAAATTACTTTGCATGAGCTGACCCGACAAGGGAAAATGTCTTCCTCCAGATGATGGGGATATTACATGCCTTGTCTTGAGGGTCGCGTGTTTCGTGGTTGAATGTAGCCTTTTCCTGGCTTCGCAGCTCTGCCGTTTTGCCTGCATGATGCAATGCTTCAGGATTTGTCTTTGAACAGACAGCACGCCCCGGAGCCATGTAGGCGAGCATTTCGTCGACTGCAGGCTGTGAGTGGCCTCAGGACCTTGAGAGCCAGCCTGAATTGGAATGGCTGGGATGGCCTGTGGGAGTCTTGCTGTGATCCCTTTCGCTTCGACATGTTGGGCCACCGTGCGCTTTGCTTCACGCGTAACGACTGGGAGGTGCGATTCTGCTGCGCCGCGCTTCAGGATGGCGGACGGTTCTCCAGGCTATGGCAGAGAGTGGCTTCAGCCAGACCGAGTGCAAGGCCCGACCTCAGCCTACCCAACTCAGCTTGCAAGTTTGGCAGCTGTGAGTATGCTTTTGTGGCATACCACAAGACTGGCACTTTTGTAGCGACGCAGCTGATTGGCTACGATGACTTACCAGGTCCCTTCGCCTCTGCATTTCTAGGGCGGCGGTCGAGAGTTCTGTTTGACCACAATCTTAGGGGGCGAAACTCGACGCTCTACAACTCAACTTTTGAATACACTGAGACCTTTATGCGTATCAGTCCTCGAGGCAGGTTAATATTAATATACAATCCGCTCGAGCATGAGATCAAGCAAGACGTGCACTTCGCAGTGTCAGCTGGTAAGATCGTGCATTTCATCAGGCGACCTACAAGCATCATTGTTTCTGGATATTTGTACCATTTGAAGGGGTCTAAGTATGAATACTGGCTGCATGCCCCAAATCCTCCGAATTGCCACCACTGCGACTACGAGGCTTGGGATCAGATTTTCCGGCCCTGTGATTTTGGATGCACATACCTGCAGCGCTTGCAGACGTCAGACCTGCAAGAAGGCCTCCGCATTGAGATTTTACGCGCGCGGTGGACCATTACCAAGATGCTCCAGAATTGGAACCGCTGGCAGCATCTGCCAAATGTGCTGCACATGTTCGCTGCAGATTTTGAAGCGAACTTGAGCTCGTCTCTGCGGAGGGTTGCGTACTTTTTCGAGCCGCGCCTTCCCAGCCACATGCTCCCACGCCTTCTTTCCGGTGCCATCGAGCTTGGCCTAGACCCGACAAATGCTTTAGCGTTCTGCTTAAGCAAAAGGTGTCAGGAGGAAGCGGGCTTTGCTTTAAAGCACTCCTCAGCTACTTCCAACCAAAGCCTCAAGAGGCGAGCTGAAGCCCTTCTTCCATCCATCGAAGAGTGGCAAGCCTACATCGCACCGGCAGATGCCTTTTACGATGCTCTCTGGGTCCAGAGCATGGCCACCAAATGATGGCAACCCTCATGCACAGATCAAGATCCGTCGGAAACCTGAAGCTCTTGCCATGCCCGAGTGCTCCCTGGAGAATGGCTTGATGACCATGAAGCTGCTTTGCTGGGCCACGCCAGGGGTGACCGCATGTGGGCATGTAGGATCAAAGCGCAGTTTGGGTATTGCAGGTGGTGGTTAGCAATAGTCCTAATTAGGTGTCCGGGGCGCGGACGAAGAGCGCTTTGGAAACAAGACTCGGTCTGCTGTTTCTTCGTCACTTCAGAGGCAGACTCGAGCGTTGAACGCAACCAAGTTGGAGTGCGGCGTCCTTCCTTGCGACGAGCCTGTCGTCGACAATGCTGCGGTAAGCCCCACCGACAGCCTCCTGGCCGGAAAAGGCTGTGACCCATCGTGACCCTGTGAATTTCTCCATCTCGCGACCTTGCAGCTGAGATCTCGCGAAAGCCTGTGCAGAGAGCAACACGGCTCGCAGCTGGGCCGCAGGGAGAGTAGTTCTTAAGTCCTCGTCCTTTCGGCGGTCGCTGCCTGAGGACAGGTCCAAGATTCCAGCGTGCCTGGTACGCATGGGGTATGCTTTGCTGAGAAGCCAGCTGAGACGGGGGCAGCTGTCTGGAGTTCTGATTTGCTCCTTACTGAGGAATGCACTCCGCAATGCGCTGATGGCTACGTCCCCTGGGTTTCCGGGGTCGGCTCAAATGCTACCTTGAACTGCACTGCAAAAATTCTGTACCCGGCGACCTTTGAATGTCACTTGTCAAAGGGGCAAGTGAAATCTGGGGCAGGGCTTTGATGTCAGGGGCCAGAGGAACAAATGAATTCCATCCAGGTAAGCTCCCTGCCGCCGCGCCTTTGTCAATTTTCGCGCCCTCCCGGCCCAAGCCTGAAGGAGCTGTCGACATCACGTGTCTCGGTCTGGCATGCAGATCAGAGAGTAGCTGCTCGATGGAGTTCGGCGGATCCGCTCCGACGCTTCATGATCTTCTGTGCGCAGGTTGCAGTTTGCCACCGGCTTGGACAATGACTGCACATGGACCAGAGATTTGGCAACAACCAGATTTATCTGCCACTACTTGCGGTTGTTGGTTCTAGTGAAGTGAAAGGATTTCTTCCAAGGATTCGAATTTGAGGGCAAGCAGGTGATCAGCGGTAACACCACAAGCTTCGCGGAGATGGTCGGGTGTGAGTCCAGCCACTCGGACAAACCATACAGTGTGGTAGCCGGAACATTAAAGGTTGTCCCTTGGTGCATGTTCTGTTTCCTTTGTCAGCTGAAGCTGCATACTAGCGGAGGAAGCGTGCAATGTCCAAGGCGTATTCACACTCCGGGAGACGGTAACGTGCATGGCAACGGGCCTGGTTGAGGGAGGCAGGCACTCAACCTTCGCTGTGGTTGCTGTGAAAGAGCGGTCAGCTGGCTAAAGCTGTCACTTGAGGTGATTACCAATTTCGTGTTATGGAGGTGTGCACGAACACAGAATTGAATAGCCCCTGGACGGAATCGGAATCTCGGTCCAACAGCGGTCGCTTTCGAGACTTGATGCAAGCATGGGTGGAGTGATTTGTCAGCGCACGTCCTGCCCAGGAAGTGTTCACCTTGCGATTCGTGATTGTCCCAGAAATCTGGCTGCCATCGACGCCAAAGTTTTTTTCTGGATATGTAGCTGGCCACCGAGCAATCTGGCGTTAGCCAAGGACATTCTGCTTTTGCTCCCGGAAGGCGATCAGTACAGTGCAGTGAGCCAGGTGCTCTTGGCAATGCAGGCATTGCTGTCTGCAGAGCTAGACGTTACCTTTGCCAGCTTTCTGGTAGGCATGCCTTGCCAGCCGCAGGTGGATGTGTATGTTACTAACGACACCAGCAAGGCCTTTGTCATTGATCGGACAAACATTCGAGTTGGAGGTGAAGAGTCTCGGCCATGCCGCTTCCTAGGGAGTGTTAAAGGGAGCAAGGTCGGCATCAGGAATCCTGCGCATGCACTACAATTGACTAAGGAGTGGTGCCCAACGAGGCAGTGGCGGGTGCCAGCAAACGAGCTACTTGGCACACCCAGGGGAAAGGGGGGGGGGGCCTTTGAAGTTCTAAGTCCACATGTTTTCAAGCTGCTCCAAGAATGCAGAACAGTTTCAAGATGAAGATGATGCCTCGGCATTTGCACAGCAGGGGCTAATTACCCAGGACCATCGATGGCAGTCCTGCTGGTTCCTCTACAGTGGGTCTCATTCAGGATGCCAGTTTGAAGCTGCAACCTGTCGTGGGCCATGAGACCTCAGTTTTGCTGTGAGGAGCGTATCCTCATCGCAAACTTCCCTGATGATGACTTCATCAAGCCCGGAATCCTGTCCCCTTTTTGGAATCCTTCAGGTTCTCGGGTCTCTGCTGGAAAGGTCAATTGGGCTACTGACAAACTCAGGATGTTTCTATGATGTCTACTGCGAAGAAGGCTTGTTCATCACAGAGGACACGCCGGCAAAGGTGAATCCAGAGTTCAGGTTGCTTGCCTGCGTGTGAAGCTGCTTCCAGCCAAAGTTGTCCCCCCCCAGGAGCAGAGTCTTACGGGTGCCCTAACTAACGCCAAAGGGCGCGAATGCTGCAACTCAGGTGGAACTTCAGCTATATTGATCCTTCGCCCGTGCGGAAAGTGCTGCAGGTAAAATCACAGGACCACAAGCTTGTGTTGTTGCACTGCCTTGCCCTGATTCAGTCTTGTAGACCGGCAAGTGCTGAGCAGCTGCCCCGGGACAGGAGGTCAAGGACGATGGTGTTTCGGTGACATTCCAGGATCCTCGGACGCGCTTTGTGAAGATAGCTGCGTACCGGCACTTGCAAACTACAGAAGACTAAGGTGGAATATGACCTGTCATCAGAAATCAACTGCAGCTTGTCTAAAGAAGAGAGATGTGTCAGGTTGCCCAGCAGGCAAGGACTTGTAGTAAATCCCTGCAGTGCAAAAAAGATGTACGCACAGCATGGGTGCTGAAGCCTTTCAGAAGCGGGACCATTGCTAGAATAAAAAGAGGGGTCAAAGACGGATCTCAAGAAGCGCAGCAACGAAGGCAGGCACGTCCAAGAAAGAATTTCTAACGATGCACAGAATGGCAGAAGAAAGAGACTTGCTGTGCAAACATGTCGAAACACGGCTGATTGCACAAAAGAATGCAGAGAAGAAGACGCATAAGCTGAACTTGCAAGAAGACCCGAACTCTTCGTCGCCAAAAGTGGTGGGCATGGAGTCTTCCAGTGGGTCCTATTTGATTCGTCTCGTCTGCCTGTCAAGTTACGGAGTGCTACGGCCATACCACGGCCAAGTTAGCAAGTGGTGAAGGTACCGTGGCACCAGTGGAGCCAGATAATGTGCCGCTGCGGGTGACCGGCCGGGTCACGGAAGGATCAGCTCGCCCACCCATCTACGAGAGCGACTTGAACAGGACGTGATGTGAGACTTGACCAACTGGGCCATTGCTATGGCTTCATATTTTTCACCTTACTTGAAGAATGTTGGGGGTTGGGGCCTGCGCGGGGGAATGTGCTTGCAGCGTGCGGTTCATTGAGAAAAATGAGATCATGTAGTGACCTGCAGGACATCTGGTGAACACACAGTGTTTGATGACACGGAGCTCGAATTTACTGTCACATCTCTGGTGCCAAGCAAGCAGCGCCCCGGAAAGAACAAGATCAAGCTCGCTGCGCCATCCGAGTCTTGCTGTTTGTCGAACCACAGTGAGGTACACGATAAACTGTGATGGATGGAAGCGCTACAAGTCTTGGGTTCCAGTGGTGTGCTCCAACTTTCCAAGTGCGTGTCTGGATGTTAGCAGCTTGACAGGACAACCCGGACAGACGTTGAGATGAATTCAGTTTTAGTGTGTTTGGCCTTCAAGGAAAGCTTTTGAGCCTCGAACTGAGGCTTCAAAACGCTAGATGACACCCGCAGCAAAGCTCAACAGTTATCCCATGAGTCAATCAAGTATGACTTTTGACACACGTGAGAGCTGCTGCAAACTCAAGCTCCTCATTGGCTCGCAATGGGCTACCACAAGGTACAGATCTGCAGTCACTGGGCATTCTGAAGGTGGCGCAATGCGACGATGGTACCCAGGCGTGGTGTGAGCTTTCGCGTGCACGCATGCTAGCACTATCCGGTGCAGGGTCTTGCACGAGTCTTTGTCATTGCTGGAGCTGCATGCAACAGCATTGACGCTTATGCAGCTGAGCAGGCCACCATCTCCTCGTGACTTAGCCGCAATGTCGTGCCGTTCAGCAAACGCGCAGGGTTCTTTCACGCCAAAGCCAGGCAATCTCTCTCTCTCTCTGCCATAGAACCGGCTTCACATTATCCGTTCTCAATGGGAAGTGAACCCATACGAGCGTTTCACGAAAGTTGCGTCTTTCTCAAGTCTTATTTCCATAGGCCATAATTCCCTGGAAATCAATCGTCTAGTCTGTACGATGAGGTGGTCACTTTCAAATCAAATAACGAGACCGATCTTTGGAAAGCTTTCAAATTTCAATGTCAGTTTGTTGGAAGAGATGCAAGCCTAACTTAACTGGAGTGCTGAAGAACGAGATGGTATGTTTGTCATTTGGGGCATCAAGCCCTCGAACATGCATGGCAATCAAGTGCTGAACTTCCTGCACCTCTGGTGTATGAGGGGAAGGGAGTCAGCCCTTCCCGTGATCATCATGATTCCGCTCCAACATGCTCCGCAGCATGTAGCACGAGAGTATGTGCATTTTGGCCATTGGCCAGCACAGACCTGTCAACCGCTGCTCATATGGGATCCTGGATCGAAATCCTCCCATGCTTGCACTAGAGCAACCTGCAATCACAGGGAGACCCAGACCTTCGAACAAGTGGAGACGGGAATTGTCATGTTGCTCTCGCAGCACGAGCGAGCATGTGCCTGGGACGGAAGTGCAAAGATTTTCTAGAGTCTTGGTGTAGTGGGAAGTCCGAATTCTCAAGTTCATGTCATGTTAGGCAGAAAGAAGTCAAGCAAATTCTCACAATTATTCGAGCACCGGGTTAGGTACCGGTCCGCTACTTCACTTCTTCAAGTGCGGTGACCAGTGTTTTCAAGTTTTCCCCACATATTGATTGCAGAGCAGGGTAGATAGCACGATCGCTACGAGGGTCGCCATTAGTGTTCTTGTCAGGTTCCATCCTAACTTGTTGCTAGGCATCATGTTTTTTTTGGTGTCAGCATGGCGGTCTTGTAATTCTGTCCTCCTGTGCCTGCAAGGCAACGACGACGAGAAAGCTGTTGGCGAGGTGGCCCACACCCAGGTAAACTTCACAGCCAGGGCCTCAGGGACTCAGCGATGAATTGACCAGCTAGCAAAACCTGTCCCCCTACCATGTGCCCTGCTGTAATGCACATGCGAGACCCTGGGCTGAAGGGTAGATGGCCAGTGTCGTTGCTTTTGTGATGTTAGATCCCAGACAAGGTTTGGAGAAGCCCTGTTTCGCAGGCGAGTCGGAACTACATGATTCATGGCTTTGCTGAGGTTGCGCCACTATCTGACTTTGCGGATATGAGCCTAGGCTGAATTATGCTGCAAGTTGCTACTCCTGCAGATGCCCGCCAAGCAGTCTTTCTTTTCTCGAGTTTACTTCGAAGGACATACAACAATCCCCAGCAAGAGTTCCACACCTTCGCGTATACGAAGCTAGCAGATGACGCGCGACTGTCGATGTTGACTGAAACACTGGACGTGACCATCTGCTCTCATGCACATTACACGGTCAACCCGGACACCTATCCCTGCAAGAACTACGTGGGCAGCTCAGCTCGGCGTCTTGCACACAGAGCACATGGAACATCTGCAACATATGTGCTGCTTCAGTTGAAGTACGTCAATCACGGGAGCAAGGGGTGCACACATTTAGTAAAGCGCTTTTCTTTTTGCTTGATGCTTGTCCCAGATCCAGATGCATAATGTTTTTCACTGCGCCAGTCTGGCTTGGGCCAGCTTACGGCCGATCGGTGAAATGCAGCTTTCCGTTTGTACGGAGGCTGTCAATGTGTCCTTCACAGACACAAAGCTTGCAATCCTGAAGATCACCGTCAAGCCGGCATCTGGTGAATCGTATTCAGTTAACGAGGTTGGCTCGGAGATCTCCGCACAGAATGGTGACGCAGCTGAATCCCTATCCTGCCTCAAACCGTGGTTGTTTGAAGTAGTTCTTGTGGTGTAACCTTTCCCGGCACTCCTTCGCAAAGAGCGCCCTGGCTCTGCCCGAAGCCTGGGGTGTTTCATGATGTTTCTGTCTGCCACCACTCGTTCTGTGCTCGATTTGAGTCATCTTCAAGCTGGCTCACCAAGCTTAGGCGATGAGGTTGAATTCCTAATGGAAAAGGATCCAGTCACGGAGCTCTATGACCTTAACATCTCATTGGGCGGGTACAACTTCTTCCCGCAGGCCAAAACAGTGGACCCTGAGAACAGTGGAACGAACAGTGAGTTGCTGGCCCTGCATTTCGATAGCAGACGGTTTGTGGCCTTCGTGGCCCCGATATAACCCGCACATATAGCCCCTATATAACCCCAATATCAAGCCCGTATAACTCCTTGATGCATTGTTTTTCGAAAGTTTAGGCATTGAACCGCGGCTGTTGGGCTGTGCAGGACCACTTTGATACGGCAATGCCACAACAGGTAGGTTAAATTCCTATATTTACCCCTATATAGCCTCTACATGACCCGTGTATTTAAGCCCTGCCCCTACCGCCCTGCCCCTAACCCCCCCCGCGCCCCCCCTGCCCACCCCCTGCCCCACGCCCTGTCATCATTTTGGATGTCGCAGGTCTTAAGAAGTCCGTACAGTCACGGGGATGGTGGGTATCCAGGTCACAACCTCTCAACTGTCATCATTTTTCAAAACCCACCAGAAGGCTTGTAGCCATTGATCGTTTAACCACCTGCCAACCAAACCCAGAGGGAGGAACGTCATAAAGCAACAAGCCCCAATTAGACTTGATTGTCACGAAGCAGCACCCCTGCAGACCACAGGTGACAAAACCCACAGGACCACAGGGGGGAGAAGGGGGGGAAACAGAAAGAAGACGCGGTCATCATGCTAGCAGCCATTGACCGATTAACCACCTGCAAGCCAAACCCACAGGAGGGGAAATGTCAGAAACAAGCAAGCCAAAATCAGAGTCAATCATCACCAAGCAGAACCCCAGAGCACCACAGGTGCAGCACAGGTGCCAATGCCCTGTAGGACCACAGCGGGGGGAGCGGGGGAAACAAGATACCCACTCATGCTTGCAGGCTTTGATCGATTGACCACCTGCCAAACCCACAGCAGGGGCAACTCATCAACCAGCAAGCCAAAATCATGCTCGATTGTCACCAAACAGAATGCTAGAGAATGCCCCACAAGACCACGGGGGAGGGGAGCACAAAAAGAAGATGCGGTCAAGCTTGTTGTGTGCATTGGTGGGG